AGAGGGGCTGTTTGGGCACTGGGCCCCAAGTATAAGTCCCCTTGTTCCAATGCCTGATTCTCACTGTGAACCTTTGACTCTTTCTTGCAAGTCGATGTCTCTGTCGAGCCGTCAGATATTGCAGTCGCCCCCTCCAAAATCTAGAGTCAAGAATCTCTTCGATTTCAAATTCTTCTTCGCCATCCACCAACACGGGCGGCGGTGGGGGAAGTTGACAGCGGAGGGGGTGTGATTGGTGGGCAAGGGAAAGTAGCGCCCGATGAAAAACTGGGTGTATTTTCATAGAGGGAGGCAAAGCCAAGCAAAAGGCTACGGGGTTGATCTGGGCAACAATTCGAAATGGTCCTGCACGCTTGCGGGCCAATTTGCGGGAGGGCACCGAAAGAGGAAGAAATTCGGTAGACAGCCAGACCCAGTCACTCACGTGGAGAGGAGTCCCAGGCTGTCTATGTCGGTCCGCAACTTCTTTGTAGGCCATCTTGGCCCTATCCAGCTGTTGTTTGAGTACGGACCGTATTGAAGCTAAGTTGTGCAGAAAATTACCGGCGGCAGGAACGGAAGTCGTCGGCAATGCAGAGGGAAATGCTCAAGGGTGGTAACCCAGGTTCGCATAGAAGGGTGTCTGTCAGGTAGAGACGTGGACGGAATTGTTGTATGCGAACTCTGCCAAAGGGAGAAAGGAGAGCCAGTCATCTTGTTGATAGTTCACATAGCAGCAGAGGTATTGCTCGAGGGTCGCATTTAGACGCTCTGTTTGGCTGTCTGTTTCTGGGTGATGCGCCGAAGAGAGGCGTAAATCGACCCTGAGCATGGACAGAAGTTCTCACCAGAACCGTGAGGTGAACTGACTGCCCCGGTCTGTTATTAATGCAAGGGGCCACCCATGTGATTTATAAATATGATATACAAACAGAGAGGCTGTGGTCTTGGCTGAAGGAAGCCCCATGCAGGCGATAAGGTGGGCCATTTTGGTGAATAAGTCTGTGATGACCAATATGGTGGTGAAGCCACTCAACGGGGGAAAATCTGTGATGAAGTCCAGGGATACAGTGTGCCAGGAGCCTGGAGGGGTTTCCAACAGCTGGAGTAAACCTGGGGGCTTGCTGGGTTGGCGTTTGGCCCATTGGCATGTGGGGCAGGAGAGAACATACGATTTGACGTCATAGCTTAAGCGAGGCCACCAAAAGTCTCTAGTAATTGTATGCAATGTTTTATAAACCCCAAAATGTCTCGCGGATGGGGAATCGTGACATTGCTGCAATACATGTTCTCTGAGTGGCAATGGTACGTACGCAGCTTGGTTGTATAGCAAGATATTGTCCTCAAAGGTGTAGACGGCAGGTAGGGTGCCTGACTCCATTTCTTCCCTCTTGGTCCGGACAAAAGGGTCAGCCTGTTGAGCCTGGTGAAGGTCTGTATGCCAGGAGGCAGAAGTGGTGGCTACAGCAGTCATTCCTGGCTGCAAGATAGGGACAGGGTTAAGCTTTACTTTGTTATCTTCAAAGTATTCAGGTTTCCTGGACAGAGCGTCCGCTAGAAAGTTCTTTGATGGTGGGATATATTCTATGTGAAAGTGAAAATGGGGGAAGAACAGCCCACCGTGCTTGTCTTTGGTTGAGGATCTTGGCTGAGATGAAATGGACCAAGTTCTTATGGTCTGTTTGAATGAGGACCGTGTGGGAGTTCCCTTCCAGCAAATGTCACCATTCTTCCAGGGCTGCTTTGATCGCCAGCAATTCCTTCTCCCAAATGGTGTAGTTCTGCTCTGAACTTGAGAGTTTGCGTGAATAAAATGCAACCGGTCTGAGGTCACTGACAGAACCCTTCCGTGGCTGCAATAGGACTGCTCCAATGGCCTTATCAGAGGGATTGGTTTGCAGTATGAAAGGTGCAGATGTGTCAGGATGGATCAGCTGGTTTTCTGAAGCGAAATGGCGTTTTAAGGCGGTGAACGCTGATGCGATATTGGGAGGCCAGTTCAGACGTCGTCCCTTCCCCTTCAAAAGGTCTGTCAACGGGGCTGTCAAGCGAGAGAAGTGAGATATGAATCGGCGATAGAAATTCGCAAATCCTAAAAAAATCTGTAGTTCCCTCTTCGTTCGGGGCTGTTGCCAGGACAATACAGCTCGTACCTTCTCAGGGTCCATCTGCAGTATGTCTTGGGAAATTCGGTAGCCAAGATACATGAGAGAAGAAGTGTGGAACTTGCATTTTTCAAGCTTAGTAGAGAGGTGGTTCTCACACATGCGTTGGAGAACGGCTCGTACATTGTGTATATGAGACTCCGGGTCATTGGAAAAGATTAACAAATCATCAAAGTAGGAGATCAAAAAGTCATCTAAAAAATCGTGGAAGATTTCATTAATTAGCCTGGAAAACGATTGTCCCAAATTTACGAGCCCAAATGGCGTCACTAAAAACTCAAAGGTGCCAAATCTGGACCAGAAGGCCATCAGGTGCTCGAACCCAGGGCGGATGCAGAGCAAATTGTAGGCATTGCGGAGATCCAATTTGGTAAAAACGTGTGCTTGGCCCAGGCATTCTAAAATCTCGGAGATTAGTGGCATGAAGTGCGTGTTGGGGACTGTAATGGCATTCAGGCGGCGGTAATCAATACAGACGCTGGGTTCTTTGGAATTTTTCCGGGGGACAATGATGGGTGTGGCCGAAGTAGGTGACGAGGACGGACGAATGAAACCTTTTTTTAGGTTGGTGGAAATGAATTCTTTAAGGACCTGCAGCTCTTTTGGTGACATGGGCCTCAATTTGCCAACTGGAAGTGTGGCCCCCGGCTGTAGGTGGATTTCCATGTCGCACGTGCGGTGAGGAGGTAGTTTGTCTGTCTCCTGAAGATGAAAGATGTCCCAAAAATCTTGATACTGTGGAGGAAGAGCAGTGGTGGAAGGCGGGGGGGGGGGTGAGATTTGAGGAGTTTGGGTGGGAGAATCAATATAATGTTGGGCACAAAATGTTGAATTGAAATGTATTTGTCTGGAGTCCCATGATTATCTGTGGTTTGTGTTTGACTAGTCAGTCCATGCCAAGTACCAGGGGGTACTGTAAATCCTTCACCAGCAAGAAAATAGCCTGTTCGCGATGCCTGCAGGGTGAGTGGGGAGGACTGGCGGGAGGAAGGGCCTCCCTGCAGGGGGCGCTTCTGGATTGAGTCCACCTGAAGTGGGGCTGGTAGCAAGGATGTAGGAAAGGAGTGTTTCTCAGCAAATTTCTCATCCAAAAACAAAGCAGTGGCACCACTATCAATCAGTGCGGTAGCTCGTATTGCAGGATGTGGGTGTGCCTGTAAAGTGGCATCAATCAGTAGGTGTCGGGTCAGAGGTCCTGTGGGGGTGAGGCGCCCTTGTGGTTGGACTATAGGTCCCACTATCGTGGTGCTTAACAACGCTGGAACTGGAAGTTTCCTGCCTGCTTTTTCCACGAACAAAACCGGGCCAAGTGGCCTATCTGTCCACAAACAAAACATGGTCCGGCTGGACGGCGGTAATCACTCTTCCCTCTTGGAATGCAAGGCCTGGCAGCTCCCAGCTGAATCGGTGCAGGCTCCTGCTGAGCCGTTGCCTCGGCAACGTAGTAATCAGGTGTGAGTCGGCGGGGCCTGGCCTCTGTCTGTGGGAACCATTTTTCTCTAGCTGGCATTGGGCCAGGGCAGCTTTCCCGCCTTTCTCATTCCCCTTCAGTCAGTCTTGCATCAAGTTGGATGGTTACAAGCATTAACTGTTGCAAAGTGTCTGGCAGAGGAGCATGGGCCAAATCATCTAGAATCTCCTCCCTTAGGCCCTCTCGATACTGCACCATCAAGGCCTCTTCGTTCCACCCCAAGTCATTCATTAAAAGCTGGAATTTGGTTGTGTAGTCTGTAGCTGAGCCCGCTCCCTGCTGCAGGCGTTTAATCTCACGGACGGCCATCTCTTTGCAAGCCCCCACACCTAGAAACTGTTCTAAGGCATTGAGAAAAGTTGTCGCGTTATTCAAAATGGGGTCTTGAGCTATCAATCTTGTGGTCGCCCAACGAGCAGCTGCCCCAGTAAGCTGATTAATTAAGAAGCCTACCTTGGTTATCTCATCGGTGAAGTCGTATTGGCGAAGATGTATGTATAGTTCACATTGTGCTTTGAAAGTTGTAAAACCTTCTTTTTTTCCGTCATACTTGGGCGGGGGGGGGGGGGATCTACCGGGCAGCATTTCAATTTCACCTCTGGAGGTGGTGGGGGAGCTGCCGTCAGCTGTGTTGCGCGAAGTGCAGTGACTTTTGCCTGCAAATCGTTTATCTGTTGTGTTGCTTCCGCATATTGGTTTCTTAGAAGTGTGTTTTCATCTCACAGATTCTGGATCTCCATCGGAATCTGGGCTGCAGGGTCTATTGATGTGATGTTCCAAAGAGAGGAAGGAGAGAAGAAAAAAAAACTTTGCCGGGAGAAACGGCACCCCTTTTGGTGTTGGAGTGCTGGGAAAGGAGGGGGCAAGCTGTCGTGAGGCAGGACAGCCGTTTAAGCACCTGTTTACTTTTGTTTGTTAGTAAAGCAACTGACTAGCTTAATATGTAGCCTGGCTATCAGCATGCATGATAGGTGCACTTCACCTTGACTTGCACTAGCAACCTGACTGCTGCCTGGCATGAAGGTGGGGATGAGACACAGAGCAGTAGCAATGTGGGCGCAGCAAACCCATGCAGCATGGTGGGTCCCTTTCCACCATGAAGGGAAGATGGCGAGTTATGCTTTTCTTTTTGTTAACAGAAGGGGAACTGCATCTTGTCTGACTTTGCAACTTCCATGTCATGCTGCAGACATAAATGGACTACCCATAAACATTACTTCTCACTCTCAGGTCAGCCACTGGCATATTGATATAACTAGCTGAGAAAGCGAAAATTCATCATCCAAAGGTTAGGCAAAAGAAAAGTGCTTTCGAATATATCAATGCACTCAGGACTCTGTTTCCCTGTTTTAATAGCTGCGTGTAAGAGTCAGGAAGTTTTGTACCCTTCAGAAGCTGTGTTCTTAATCCATTCTCTGGAAGACACAGTCCAGCCTTCCTCACATTGATCTTCTGTTCCGGGGGGGCTGCAAAGTGAGAAACAAAACAAGCACGCTCAATAGCAGGAAGAAAGGAAACATTCAAATAAATCAATGATTTCCTAACAGGAGAAAAGTCAGGACAGTCGGTTGCAGAAACCTTTTCAGGTGCGAAAATGAGGGAACATCATTTTAGATTTCAGTAGGGAAGCAGGAGGGGAAACATGCACAGCAAAGTCTATTTTTTAAAAAGAGCAATGAACCTAAGACAATTCCATACAGTTATTTTTAACTGTGTAATAATTGGATGAACAGGTGATCTTACAGAATGCACTCTTGCAACCTGAAACATGATCAGTCACAACAACCCGCACCCGCAAACAACATCTCTGGTGAAAGGTCATGCAATTACAGTTTCTATACCACATTTTTTGTGCAATTTACATTTTATTCCAGGGATGGGCAAGTTCTGGGCTTCCAGATGTTTTGGCCTACACTTCCCATGGTTCCTCATCACTGGCTATGTTAGCTAAGGCTGATGGGAACTGTAGGGAATGCATCTGGAGGAACATAATGCTGCCCACCCTGTCCTATGCTATACAGCAAGATACCCCATTTATAGGTTTGCTACCTATTCATTATAGGGAATCATATATCAACAAAATAGTTTCCTTTAGTAGGAAATGAATATACAATGAATAACCACCAATATCAATAACCGTCACAACAAAGCAAACTGAATTAACTGACCCTCCAAAGGCAGCCCTGAATTTCCCACTGTTCACAAAACAGCTTTATAATTACTTTGTGCATCTGGAGCTTTTGGATTCAAGGAATTTGCCAGAGCGTTTTGCAAAAAGCTGGAGATTTCAGTCAAGAACTGAGTGATGCCATCTGTATTGCTGTCCAAGCTGAATGTGGGAATTGGACGAGCTTCTAATTTTCCAGGAAGAGGAAGGAGATAACAGTCCTACAAAAAATAGGAAATACAGGAATCATAAAGCATGATCACCCTATTAGGAGGAGGTGACTTCCAGTCTAGTAATATATAACAGGTTCTGAAATTCTTGGGTTTTAGAGCTCTACCTTCACCTCCTTATGTCTGGTCTAGTGAGCTGGCCTGGCTCTGCTGGGTTGTCCTTCACCCACCCTTCTGTTCTCTAATCAAAGTCACCACCCAGCTGATAGCTTCTTTTCCTCCGTGACTTCACAGGTGTGAAAAGACTAAGCAAGAATATATGTAGCAGTTTGCTAAGGAAGGCTTTCTCCTCCTTACTCACATCCATCCATTTTAAGTGTACAATGATCATTGTCAGAATCCAAGATATGAGCAAGGCTTGCTTTTGTTCTTTGTTACTTTTAGATTGTGCAGTGTCTGGCACAACATTATTAGACATTTAGTTCTTCCTTGATTTCCCTATAGGAAGGAGAACCAGTATTTTCCTCTGCTTCACCTTCTGTAAGGAGTTGGCCTGTCTCTGCAGTGGACAGGGGCACCCTGGAAAGAATGCAGAGGACCTTCCACTGGTAATGTGAAAATCAACAGGCATGGCACTGGTCAAGCCCTCAGACTTTTGAATGGTTCATGCTGGTGAAGCAACTCTAGCTGGTGCTTTAAAGCTGCAAATCCTTTCTGTAAAACAAAAAGACCCTGAACTTCCATGCCATGATAGGATCCAGGTCACACTATGCTAACATATTTTACACCGGACTGTGTATGAGACCTAGTGTGTATTGAGAAAGCCCAGGTGGTTCAGAAGACAGAATGGTACTCAGAATGAGTAACATCTCGCCAGTGTTTAGAACAACCATACCAGCTGCTAGCTTGTTTCCAGATACAATTCAGTTTGAAGGGCTAGCTCTGATCAATAAAGTGGGAAATGGACCAAGAAGACCAGGCTATCTGAAAGACCTTTTATTCCCATACAAGCCCACCCAACTGTCATTATCTCTGTCAGAGATGAGGAGGATGGTTACTAGAAATAGAGACTTTTTAGTGTTGGTATCTCATCTGTAGAACTTCCTCCTCCTCTGTGTTCAACTGGTATCCACCTGGATGGTTTTAAAGTGCCTGGTAAACATATTACATGCCCGTGCATTTCATAGTTTAAGCTTGCTAGCCAACCATTTCAGCGACTTTTTCTTTAAAATGCTGGTATTTATTGCTGTAATAAGTGTTGATTTTATTTGATGGCTTTCTTTATAAGATATTTTTAATTATATTGCAAGTACCTTGTGGGGTGCAAATATTTTAAAGAAAATAAAAGCAGTGTGTTCAAGTTATATGGTCAATGGAAAGTAGAAGTCTGTTACACAGCACAAATGTCAGAACATTTACATCCTGTCCAATGGCCTGGGCAACCCACCTGGGACTAAATTCAGGATTGCCTCCCCTCTGGTTGGTTCCATGACCAGCTGCTCAACGGCATAGTCATTTAGGACAATGAGAAACGTAACCTCTCTGTCAAAATTGGAACATGCATTTATCCAGTCAATGTGTGGGACGTTGAAGTCACCCATTATTACAGCACTGCCTTTTTGGGGGGCCTCTCTGATTTCATTCTCCATCTGAAGATCACCCTGAGCATTCTGTTCTGGGAGACAACTGCATATTCCTTTGATTAATGTAGTTTTATTGCCTGGAATTGTCACCCACGCTGCTTCTGTCGAAGAGTCTATGCATTTTAGATGATCAAGTATGCTGGATTCTATGCCCTCTTTGATGTACAGTGCTCCTAGTCTGTCCTTGCCTGTCCTTCCTATACAGTTTGTACCCAGAGATGACTGTATCCCACTGGTTCCTGCCATTCCACCAGGTTTCCACGATGCCCACTATATCTAGCTTCTCCTTCATTACCAGGGTCTTCAGCTCTCCCATTTTGGTCCTAAGACTTCTAGCATAGAAATACCTAAGCACAGTGTCCCCCTCCAGCCACATGACTTTTTTTCCTGCCACTCAGTCCTCCCCAACTGGCTATCATGGCTTAGCATAACCTCATTGCCTACTTCCCCTGTTCTTACACTTGGGCAATCTGAAACTTCCTCATCTTGATTCGACCCAAACCAACCGGATGCTTCTCAGATTCTCTCGGCTTTCCCCCAGGAAACCATGCACTTTGGCATGGTTTGTGAGTGAGTCACATTATTAGGCCTTTTTCAGCAGTTTGCAGTAAATTGTTTTTAAGTGCCTCACTTCCTGACCATTGTTCCTAACTAATACATTCTTTTCTCCCTTTCCAGCTGATGAGGCTCCCGATGGCTATGTAGCATATGGGTGTGAAAGCTGAACAGCTAAAGAAGTTGACAGAAAGAACATGGCTGCAACTGAAACAAAGTGCTGGAGGAGAGATTAGCAAATACCCTGAACTGGCAGGAAGACGCACAATCAAGCCACAACTTCCCCTGGAAGCAAAATATGATGAAGTGTTGTGCTTCGGGTACCTCATATGAAGGCAAGAATCACTGAAGAAGACAATCATGCTGGGGAAGGTCGAAGGCAGAAGGAGAGGCAGATCGAATCTGAGATGCTGCAATTCCATAAAAGAAACCACAGCTTTTGATTTACAGGAGCTGAGCAGACTGTCAAGGGCAGAATGTTTAGGAGGGGCTTCTTTCATAGGGATGCTGTAAGTTGGAGACAACGATGGCACATAACAACAACAGCTGACAAGGCTAGACAAGTTACCTAAGGGCTCCACAGAAACGTTAGCAAGCCTACAGAAATGAATTTCCAAGCATAAGAAAAAGCACTTTATATCTGGGAGCATCCCAGAGGGGTAGGCAGAGCTCATCTATTGCAGGAAAACCAACAGAAAGTTTTGTGATACCTAAAGACATATATGTTTATTGTGGCAGAAGCTTTCTTGGGTACTGGCAAGTTTGTCAAATGCATGAGGCGTTTGCCTCAAATTTGCAGTTTGATATACACATGCTAAAGTAGCAGCAGTGAATTGTAAAAAGTGAGGTCAGAGAGAAATGCACTTTGTGCGATGCAAAAACTACAATTTCTCCTCTTTTTTCTCTTTTTAATTTTTGTTGTTACTGCAATTTCACTTCTAAAAAGGAATCATCATTGCCTTAACAACAGCCACTGTCCTCCTCAGTGTAAGAGGTGTAAGAAAAGGAGCAGAAACAAGCAAGGGGAGGCCCACCCACTTTAGGCTCTGGCCTAAGCCACTGTTGGCCTTGGACATGACCTGGCCAGCAAGTAGAACACAACAGGTAACCACTGAAGGGATGTAGCCCTTCACAGCAAAGAAGTTTCCTAACTTTATGTTAAAAGGTATGGAAACATCCTGGAACGTGTCTTGAATTCCACTCAGCAGAAAGTTCTGCGGATCTGAAATTGCTTCTGCATTACCTCCCAGTTGCATGTGAGGGCCTTCTCAGTGGTGGCATCCCAGTTATGGAATTATCTCCACTGAAAAAACCTTTGACCAATGCTGTCAATGCTTCAGCATTGGGTTAAAACCATCCTCTACTCCCAGGCATTTAAAGATATTTAATGGCATATGATGGGGCATTTCGGTCTACTGTCTTTTAACATATCCAGAATTTTTACTGACATTGTTTTACGAACTGTTTCAATGGTTTTAAACTTTCATAATGAAATTTTATGCTGCACTTTATCTGTATTTTGTGACTTGTAATGGTGAACTGCCAGAGATGTTCAGTTACTGGATGATATAGAAATGAAACGATCATTTAGATCATTATTACATTTTAAACAAACACCAGAACAACACACTAACAGTAGCCAAGTTCAGAACGTTACATTATACGTCAGAAAAAAAGCTATTGAGCTTTAGGGAATGCAAAACAGAAAGCTATCATGTGGTCCTTTCTGACAGAGGGAGATGAAAAAGGAAGTGGAGTTATTTCACCAAACCCAGTTTTTTTTTTTCTTCTTCCCTTCCTAAGCTCTTTTCTTTGCACCATGTATTTCTGGACTGTAAGGCTGCAGGCAGGGATAGTCTTGTTCTACAACTTCTATGTAAACTGCTCCAAAAGAGTTTTTAGCTGAGAGGCAGAATAAAAACATTTAAAATAAAATTTAAAAACTTGTTCAGGAGCATACAGTGTCCATTATTCATTTTACAACAATGGCCGAAATGTGCACTAATGTAAAACTGTTTCTGTTATGATGCATTGAGGCTAAGCTTTTACAATAGTAGCCAACTGGATGCATATATGTGGAGAGGTGCAGAAAATATATTTTCACTTTCCCTACATAAATCATTCATATGCAGAAATGTAGAGCAACTTAACACAGTCATCCATAAAAACCCATCTGAGAGAGATGACTTAATTTGGAGTCCTGCCCTGAGCAGGGGGTTGGACCTGATGGCCCACTGACCCCTTCCAATTCTACTATTCTAATGAATCTATGATTCCAGGACCCATTAAAACTTTTATATATGCTGTCAAATGCCCACAGGTTGAAGAACGCATTAATTTGGCACTGGAAAGGTAAGAAGCGGATACCAAGTGGGCCTCATGGGGGCATGCACAACTGAGAAGGTTGCCTCCTCTGTTGCCATCCTCCAAACCTCCCTAACATGAAGCTCTTGACAGAGGGTCTTAGATAAAGATCATAATGGACAGGTAGATGCAAGCTGCTACAGGGAGCAGAATGTCTTGGAACTGCACTCGGGACTGGATAGCTTGTTCCAGATACCCTGATTTCCATGTTCCAGCTTGGGAGCATGGGAAATGCATGGGAAAAGCTTGGAAATGCATGGGAAATGCACACTAGCTGACAGACATGGCTCTCCCTACACAGGGACTGTCTATGTGTCTATCACATACCTCCAGAAACTGGATGTCATCAGCACAGGACAGCAGTTCTTCTGCTTTCATATTGTATTGACTAACAGTGTCCAGTTGGTGCTGCAGCCGATTCCAATTCTCTTCCATCTGGCCGAGCACGGCAGCCTGCTCATTTTCAATTCTTTCCACTGCCTTCTGCTGGCACTCTTTCAATACTTCCATGACATGGCCAAACTTTTGCAAAACCCTTGATTTGAATTTCTCTGAGGAATCCTGAGTGAAAGGCAGGGAAATGAGATTTAAAGCAATGGAATATTTCCACTGAAGCAGCAGCTACAGCTATTTATTTAAAGCTTTTATATCCCACCTTTCACAATGTCTCAGGGCAGTAATACAATAAAATAAATAAATAAGATACAGCATCCAGATAATAAAATATAAAATCAATCTTAAAACACTACTAGCATTTAAACTAAAGGAAAATAAAAAGGTTTTGGTCTGGTACCGAAATGAAAAAAGGATTGCTGCCAGGCACACCTCTCTGGGGAGCCCATTCCACAGCCAGGGTGCCACCACAAAAAAGACCCTTCTCCAGGTTGCCACTCTTCTGATCTCCTTCAAAGAGGGCTCCCAAAGAGGAATCTCCACTCCAGATCTTAGAGGCTGGGCAGGTATATATGGAAGGAGGTGCTCCTTCAAATATCCAGGCTTTCTCACTGCTGCGCATTTCTTAGGCTCTGTATGGGGGGCGGGGTCTGTTCTAGTGGGGGTGAAGTTGAAACCAAGAGGGACAAGCTCCCAAATACCAGCAAATCTATTGCTTCCAGTAACTGAGTTTTAGGCAAATCATCTCAACTTTTTAGAGTGGGGAAAAATGCACAGGGGCCATGAAACTACCAAATAATTGATGGTTGGGGGAGAGGATGGGCAGGCCAGCAGAAGGTGTACACTTGCCCTGAATGATGGAAAAACTTTGTGCAGCAGCCCAAACTCAGAAAGACAGTGGAACTGGATGGTCTGGTGCAGCTTCTTCAGTTGGAGAACGCACAAGCACTGGTGGCATATGGAAATATGGATGCTCACAAAAGCAAGTGCCTGAGCTGTGGTTGAACACTGGAACTCTACTGGAAGACTGAGAAGTGAAGCATCTAACAGAAGAGCAGAAGAAAAGCCATGCTGGATCTCACTAAAGGTCCATCTAGTCCAGCAATCTGTACACATGGTAGCAAACCAGTTGCCCACAGAATCCCGCAAGCACGATGGGTACAAGAGTTCTGTCTGCTGAAGCTTCTCAGAAACTGGTGAATGTAGGCATGCTGCCTCGGTAAAGGAGGTAGTCCATAGCTAGCAAGGCTAGTAGCCACTGATAGCCTCCTCACTAATCTGTCCAGTCCAAACTGCTGGCCATCACCACTGCTAGCTCAGATCTCATCAGCCTGTATTTGCAGCTGGGATTTTTTGCAACATGCTATTCTCCCAGCTTGGAGAGATCACTTTGGAGCTACTCACAATCCCTTTTGGTTTTAAACCATTCTAAATCATTCAATTTCATCAGCAAACTTGATCACTTCACTGCTTCCTCCTAATTCTAGATCATTTATGAATAGGATGAAAAGCATTAGTCCTAATACAGAACACTATGACATTCTGTTGGTCATATCCCTCCATTGGGAGAAATTGCCATTTATTCCCACCTTCTATCTTCTGTTCTTTAACCAGTTAGTAATCCATAAGAGGATTCTCCCATCCCTATTCCATGACTGCTTTGTTTGCTCCAGAGCTTTTGGTGAGGGACTTTGTCAAAAGCCTTTTGGAAGTCCAAGTAACCAATGTCAACTCGATTGCCCCGTCTACATGCTTATTGACACTTTCAAAGAACTCCCGTGGATTAGTAAGACAAGATTTCCTCTTGAAGAAGCCATGTTGATTTTTTCCCAGCAGGACTTATCCCTCTATGTGCTTACTGATTCTATCTTTAATACTGATTTTTGAGCAGTTTGCCCAGAACAGCTCTTCAGCTAATTGGCCTGTAATTTCCTGGATCTCTTTTTAAAACTTGGTGTTTTAAATCTTCTAAATCTTAGTCACTAGTAGGAAGAGTTTCCACTAAAACATGCCAGCATGGTTTGCCACATCATATTATGCTTACCTGAAAGGTAGACTGCTTTAGGGAAAGGGACAGGGGAAGAAATGCGGCCTTCAAAGCAGCACTGGAGGTTCTACACTCACGTGAAAAGCAAGGGAAATGTAGAAAGCCCATTTGCTTGTGCGTCAGTGGCTGTTTTAATTACAACTGCTGCCAAATGGGGCATGGATGGTAAGCCAGCTTTTTCGACAAGAGACACTAGACTTTCTGTGGTGTTGTCTATGGACTCTACCTTAATATTGGCTATCTGCTGCTCCAGTTTTTGGATTTCTTCTTTAATCCTTTCTGCCTCCTTTTGAGTTTTCTCCAGTGCTTCTTTTACAGACTCCTGCCAAAGAATTAAAAAAGGTTTAAATACACAAGCAGCTCATTCTGACCCAGGTATATCTCATCCAGCTCCTACTATCTTGCCCGTACAAGGAGGTTAGCTGTTCTTCCAGATATGTTATGTGTGTATTCCTGTGGAAGGATCACAAAGCTCTATCAATATAGAACTCCCCAGAGAGGTCTGCCTGGTGCTGTCATTATATGCTTTTCGGTGCCAGGTTAAGACCTTTTTATTTCATCAATATTTTAATAAGCTTTAATATTGTATTTTTTAATATTATACTTTTAACTGCAGCCAGAGTGGGTCGATTTGTTTATGTTGATTTTATGTTGATATTTTGTCATAATTTATATTGATATTTGTATTTTATTTATGTAAGCCGTCCTGAGGCTTTTGCAATAGGATGGCATATAAATATCACAAACAAACAAACAAACAAATATAATCTTACTATACTGGGACTTGGCAACAGAACTGCTGGCAACCATCAGAGTAAGTATAAGTAATCAAGTCTCAGGAAGTGGTGAGCAGTTCAGAATATGAAGGTGCCTTATCCTGAGTCAGACCATCGGTCCAGCTAGCCCAGTACTGCCAACACTGACTTGCAGGCTTTCCAGGTTTTAGATAGGAGTTTTCCAGCCCTACCTGGAGAGGGCAGGGATTGAAGCTGGGACCTTTTCCATGCAATCCAGCAACTTTACCCTGAACTACAGTCATGGGGTCAGAAGAGACAAAAGAAAGCAGCCACTTAGTGGCTGCATGTAGTAGGAAACCAATAGTTTAATGCAGTCACCCATAATGTGGATCTCTCTGAATGTGCTAAAGAGCAAATCCCATAATCCCCAGCCACTGTGGGAAAGCTACCCAACAGGGTATGCAGAATCTTTTTCAGCCTGAGGGGCAAATTCCATTTCATGTGAGGGGGCCAGAAGCCAGCCTGGGCCGGGGCTCTGCACCCCCGCTGTACAGTTAGCCATGTCTACACCTCCACAGACTGGGGCGTTGTGTTGCAACATGGGCGGTTCTGGAGAAGCCTGCACGCACAACCCCTCTGCGAAGGAGAGGTTCACCTCTGCGCCACTCTCCTTACTTCTCCTGCTTTCCTCTCGTCCTCCAAGAGCGTTCTCCGGTGGTTCTGGCACTCCTTCACGGAGCACACCCGGCAGATGCTCCGCTTCTCGGTCTTGCAGTAGAGCTCCAAGGGCTGGCTGTGGCTCGAGCACGTCCTTTTGTGGGTAGCCGGGCTCCCCGGGGGTGTCGGTGCCCGTGTTACCTTCCATTTAAGAAGGTCCAGCACAGCATCGAGTTTCACTGTTTTGCTGAGCTCGGGCCGCTCGGCAAAGCTTTTCCGGCATTCGGGGCAAGTGTACTTCTGCGGGGCCGCAGGCTTTTGCTCCTGCTCGTCCCAGTGGCTGCCGATACACTTCTCACAGAAGCTGTGTCCACAGGGCACAGTCACAGGGGTGGTAAACGTCTCCAGACAAATGCAGCAGGACAATTTCTCTTCCAGGGTCCGTGAATCAGCAGAAGCCATCCTATTCGCCGAGCAATCGCAGCAAAGAGAAGGCAATCACAAGATCCGCGCAGAGGCGCACGCACCAATTACGTGCTCACGTGAGTGAGGGCTGGGCAAGGAAAAATGGCACACAGCCAAGCAGGATCTTAAAGAGACGAGCACAGTGTCTTTTCCGTAAAGAGAGGAGAGCGCGGGGAGAAAGCTCTTTGGGCTTTTGACTGGCATTGACCCCTGATCTCCATGTATTAGAAAACAGCTTTTTAAAATATTACAGCATTTTAAAATATTACTGCCTATTTTGTAAAAGAACACACATCCTTTCGTCAGCATTTTATCTGCCCTGAATCTCACTGATGACTTCCATAAGACCCCAGGCTATAGCATCATGCAAGAAGAAAAATGCCTTCCTATGCACTTCCTTTACCCCATGAATAGTTTTGTACACACGTATCATGTCTCCCTTTCCTCTTTTTCTTAGTTATTTATTAAGCGTATATTCTGCTATATTGGCCAGGGGCCCTCTAAGCAGATTACAGCAGGATAAAAACACATTATAGCAATAAAAATGATCAATTAAAACAGACAATAAGGCAGTAAAACAAAACAATACACAAGGGCTCACAGCTGAGGTATAATAATTTAAAACCATATAAACAATATTGCTAAACAACCCTAGATATTATAGTATTTCCTCACAGGGGAGTTGCTCCAGCAACTTATTTTAGTTGCCTTTTCCCCAATTTTAGGCTTCGGTGAGATGACCAGAAGTGTATAAAGTATTCCAAACGTTGTCATGCCACAGATCAGTACAAGGGCAGTATGATACTGCCAGTTTCATTTTCAGCTCCTTTCCTAATAAACCCTAACATGGAATTTAATTTTTTCAAAGCTACACACTGTGTTGTCTTCAAGCTGTCCACCACAGCCCCAGGATCTCCTTCCTGGGAATTCACTCACCTACGCTTGAAGTTGGGACTTTTTGTCCACATGTACCTTACTTCATGCCTGCTTACTCTGAGCAGTGTTTGACATTTTGATGCCCATGTCCCCAGTTTGGAGAGATCCTTCTGTAGCTCTGCTAAATCCATTTGCGTTTTAACTCTAACCCTAGCACTCAAAAACATTTGGTGTTGTCAGCAAATTTGCCCCTTCACTGCTCACTTCTAATTTCATATCTTTTATGAATAAACTGAGAAGCACTGGTCCCAAATTAAGATCCCTTTGGGACCCCACTGCTTACATCCTTCCACTAGAAAAATTTACCAGTTTACTCTTATTCCTACATTCCTTTTGTTCTTTAACCATTGATCCGTAAGAACGCATCAGGAGTCTTTGGTGAGGAATTTTGTCAAACATCTTTTGGAACTCTACTGGCTCACCCGTCCACTTATTTATTGGTTCTTTCAATCAACACTAAAAGGTTAGTAAGACAGGACTTACCCTTGCAGAGACCATAAAGGCTTGTCCTATATGCTTACTAATTTTTTCTTGAATAAAGTTCTCTACCAATTTACCTGAAACAGACATTAAGCCAACTGGCCTGTTATTTTTCTGGATTCCAATTAGTGTTACACTGACCATTCTCTAGTCTTCTGGCTGTTGTTGTTGTTTAGCGAAGTCACGTCTGACCCATTGCGACCACATGGACAACATTCCCCAGGCCTTCCTGTCCTCCACCATTCCCTGGAGTCCACTTAAGCTCACACCAACTGCTTCAGTGACTCCATCTAGCCACCTCATTCTCTTCCGTCCCCTTCTTTTGCCATCTATTCTTCCCAGCAGCAGGCTGTTCTCGAGGGAGTCCTTCCTTCTCATTAGGTGGCCAAAGTATTTGAGTTTCATCTTCAGGATCTGGCCTTCTAAAGAGCAGTCAGGGTTGATCTCCTCTAGGACTGACCAGTTTGATCTCCTTGTAGTCCAAGGGACTCGCAGGAGTCTCCTCCAGCACCACCATTCAAAGGCCTCAATCCTTTGGTGTTCAGCCTTCCTTATGGTCCAGCTTTCACAGCCATACGTTGCAACTGGGAAAACCATAGCCTTGACTATACGCACTTTTGTCGGCAGGGTGATGCAGGGCTGTCTTAACGCATGGGCCTGATGGGCACTTGCCCGTGGGCCCCATACTAATCTGTGTATGTTAACCCTTGGAAAACTGGAAAACTTCCAAAATTAACAGTAGTTGTAGTTGTCATAGGGGACCCAGTACACTGCTTTGCCCAAGGTCCATAATGCTGTTAAGATTGCCCTAGGGTGATGTCTCTGCTTTTTAGTATGCTATCTAGATTTGCCATAGCTTTCCTCCCCAGGAGCAAGGGTCTTTTAATTTCTTGGCTGCAGTCCCCATCTGCGGTGATCTTGGAGCCCAGGAAAATAAAATCTGTCACTACCTCCATTTCTTCCCCATCTATTTGCCAGGAAGTGAGAAGACCGGATGCCATGATCTTAGTTTTCTTAATGTTGAGTTTCAAGCCAACTTTTGTGCTCTCCTCTTTCACCTGCATCAAGAGGCTCTTTAGTTTCTCTTCACTTTCTGCTATTAGGGTGGTATCATCTGCATGTCTGAGGTTGTTGATATTTCTCCTGGCAATCTTCATTCCAACTTGTGATTCATGTAGCCCCACCTTTCTCATGATGTGCTCTGAATATAATTTGAATAGGCAGGGCGACAGTATTCAGCCTTGCCAAACTCCTTTCTCAATTTTGAACCAATCAGTGGTTCCATGTCCAGTTCTCACTGTTGCTTCTTGAGCTCATATAAGTTTCTCAAGAGACAAATAAGATGGTCAGGTCTCTTTAAGAACTTGCCACAATCTGTTGTGATCCACACAATCAAAGGCTTTAGCATAGTCAATGAAGCAGAAGTAGATGTCTTTCTGGAACTCCCTAGCTTTCTCCATGATCCAGTATATGTTGGCAATTTGATCTCTCATTCCTCTGCCTCTTCAAAACCATGCCTGTACTTCCGGTAGTTCTCGTTCCACATACTGCTGGAGCCTAGCTTGTAGGATTTTGAGCATAACTTTGCTAGCATGTGCAATGAGTGCAATGGTGCGGTAGTTTGAACATTCTTTGACGTTGCCCTTCTTTGGAATTGAAATGTAAACTGACCTTTTCCAATCCTGTGGCCACTCTTGAGTTTTCCAAATTTGCTGACATATTGAGTGTAGCACTTTAACTACATTGTCTTTTAAGATTTTGAATAGCTCAGCTGGAATACTGTCTCCTCCACTAGCTTTGTTGTTGCTCACACATCCTAAGGCCCACTTGACTTCACATTCCAGGATGTCTGGCTCGAGGTCAGTGACCACCCCATCGTGGTTATCAGGGATGTTAAGCTCTTTCTTGTATAGTTCTTCTGTGTAATCTTGCCACCTCTTCTTAATCTCCTCTGTTAGGTCCCTGCCATTTTGGTCCTTTATCATGCCCATCTTTGCATAAAATGTTCCTTTCATATCTCCAATTTTCTTGAAGAGATCTCTGGTCCTCCCTATTCTATTGTTTTCTTCTATTTCCTTACACAGTCCTCTGGTACAACTTGTCAAAAGGTCAAACACCTCCTATTTTGTCATGGCTATTTGCTTGTTCCTCAGAGTCCCTTCCTGAAATGATAGCTCAGGTACAGGCACTTGATCTGTATCTTCTGCAGTGAAGAATGATGAAAATTGTTCATTCACCTTCTCATTACACCATTTACAAGTCCTTTAACTGTTATCTAGTGAACCAACTGTCTCCCTGACTGATTTCCTACTTCTGACAGATGTAAAAAAATTGTCAGTGATATGCACCCATTTTTAACATCATTTCTTTTCATACTTCCTTGTAATGCTTGTGCTCCCTTTCATTTTCCTCACATAGGCAAGACTTCCATGTCTCTGAAGGAAGCCTTATCTGTAATAGCTTCCTTGACACTGCTCATTTAATGTGCGGGTGAGCAGCTTATTCCAACCTTATTCCCACATCCAGCATGAATCCCCTTACTCCTTCACAAATGATATTGTGCTCCAAAAGGTAAAGAAATGCCTAATTATTGAAGTTATGTTATGAAAATGAATCCTTGCTCTAATTAGCAAATAAACCACAAGTGTCCAAACAAATATGAGACCTGCAAGGTACACAACCTGATCACTATTTGCTTTCATTTGCTTTTATTTTCCTTCAAGCAATGTGAACATATCATATACCTACCAGCTCCACAGTGTAGTTCATATATCTCACGATTGGTTTATACCACTATTTGTTAGTTATGGCATCTCAACCAGTTCATCCCTAAATCCCCCCAAGATAAGACTACATATAATCCTGCCTGATTCCTGAAATTATAAAAATATGCTACACAGCATCAGTATACTAAAGTTTTGAGATGGCTGTCAGATGGGGAGAAGCACAAGGGAGCAATCAAATGCAACCTAACATTTCAGAATGATTTTAAAAACATATTTAATTCATACTTTAAAGATTAAAGACGATGCACTTGGGCACATTTCAGATATTATACAAACCAATTCAGCTGAGAGTATTTTGCTGAGACAGTGCAGTGGTGGAGCAGCAAAGCATAGAACACTTTGACTGTTGAGAAAGCAGAGCCGAAGCCCAACTTCTGAAGTTTTAGACATTCTGGTACAACTAGGCTGTTTCTTCACCACAAGAATGAATGTATTTGCACCACTTTCACAAGTTGTCTGATGTACACAAGATAGTTGTAAACTATCTTTCTTCCAAGTCAGGAATACCAGTGGTGCTTTGGATCAAATCCAACCATGGTTCTTAAACTTCCACTTTGTGAACTGTTCTGCAGAAGTATTCTTTGTGGCATAGTGGCAGCTCTGTCCAGGGCCATCTTGAAAAGGCAGGTGTCAGACACCTCAGTAAATTTTGTAAGTGAGCTCATCACTGTCCCTGTACCTATCCAGATACCTCAGAGGCTGTCGGTGTGGAAACTTCTTCTGTGGGGGGTGGTATTTGGGGGGTCGCACAAAGTCAAACACTGGCTCTTTCATGACTGCAGAAAGTAGATAGCATGTTAATACATATCAAAATTGGAAGACACGTCAAATAACATTAAGCATCCTCTGTCTCTGCCATCCCTTATTTTGCAATGGAAAAAATAACTAATAGGCCATTAATGGAAAAGAAGTCCCTGTTTTCTGTCTTTAATTATTTCTTTTCTTTGGCGCAGATGCTTGAACAGGATCAAATACCCTTCCTAATACAAGGCAAATAAATTCACCCTGTAGGTCCAATCTAGTTGCCAATAGACTAGTGGTCCACAGGCAACTTGGTTAGCTTCCATCTATCCTGGGTCAGAAAGCTTTAAATGAGCCCTAGAAATGTCTGACTCAGATCATTCCAATCTCATATCTACACTGGAGCACTCATAAAGATAAATGGTGTCTGAAAACTGTAGCACCAGTCACAGAATATGGTCTAAACAGACAGTCTAGTAATTCTGGTAGAACAACAAGAATTTTAGTTTTGGTATTTCAAAATGCAACACTTCCAAACTGATACGATTATAGCTCAAAACATGAACATGCAGAAGCACATCCTGCTACTGAGTTTGCCCTTTTCCATGCCCTCAATTAGGAGCCACTACTGAAATAACTCAGCAAAGGAACATCTCCTAGCTCCAACCACATAATGTTTTGGTGGGGGAGCAGAACTCAAGCAAATACTTGAGTGCACGGAGGGCAGATTTCAGATGGGAGACTAAGACAAAGTGCTACCTTCTGTTCTTGCCAGAGGTAGCAAATGAAGACGTGTTCCTTGTTCTGAAAAACGTCTTAAATTTTATCGTATTGTGGCTATTCAGAAGCACTGCCTATTAATGCTGCTGCACTAGTAAGGGTACTTGCTTCACTCCCTTCTCATGTAATTCCAGATGATTAGGGCGTATGACCTAGATAGGATAGGCTCTGGTGTGTACTGATCTCAGTAAGGGCAAATGACAACTGTTTCAGGAAGATGCACTGCTTCCTGTGCTACTTTCATAGGAATCCTAACAACCCGCCTCTCTCAACAACCTTCATTCACAGAAAGCCCACTTGAGACTAGAGTTTTTCATGAAACTGAAAAAGAGCCACTCGCTGTTTCAGTTCTGCCCCTGGTTATCTGCGTGTTGGAGCCCTTGATAGTTCTCCACCATGCAATTTCAATACTGATTGTATCAACTGGACTCTGAAGCAAAGTGACAAGGGCAAGTGGATTCCAAAGCTCCAGTGTTATACAACCCTTGACCAATTATGTCCCCTCCAAATTTTGAGTTCTAGTCCTTTTCCTGTCTCTGGCTGGGAACTGGAGGTGGACTGGAACTCTCTCAACTTTTACACACAGCATGCAAAGTAAAAATATTACACACTTGTCCAGTCTCACAATTTTTGTGTTCTGAGTATTATGCTTTAATGCAGAATCATAGTATTTTCAGCATGGTCCATTACTTACCGAGAAGCTGGTGAAAGATCTGTGTAACAGAATCATCCCACTGGCACTGGAAAAATGCCAGCCCTGCTGGTGTCATATCATTCTGATACTTTTTGTAGAAGTCAAATGTTCTGAAGGTTCTCATCTTAAGGCTGTGGCTGGAAAAAAAGAGATCCACAGATGCTGTTATCACCATGGTCACCTTGTGCAAGCCATCACCAATTTCACTCAGTGAATAAAACAGACCCACAAGAGGGCACACAATCAAGACTACATTCTTAGGTTTAAAGCATGGACATTCCCTATCAGTTAAGCAATAAATGCTCCCCCAGTGTAGAAGTCCAATGGAGATTGGGTTTTTTCATTCTGCTCAGAAGGAGTTATCAGTTTCTTGGGATCTTTGGAAAGAAAACAGATTTAAACTTGCAACATAGATGTAGCAGAAATTCCTGGGAAGGAGGAAGCAATAGAAAACTTCCCCTTTGCTGAGCAGAAAGGGAATGCTGGCTGGTTGCTCAGCTAAGATTGAGCCTCATACAGTTCCCTGCTTCCCAGAGATACTGGAATGGCAAAGGGGAAGCCAGAATTTTAACGTCCTCCAGAAATTACTTCCCATTAGGGACAGCATGTAGGAAGCAGTCTTCAGTGTGCTCACTTTCCATGCGTAAGCACAGGACGGAATGGGTAGACAAATACTGGATGTTTAGAGATTTTCCACCTCATGTGATAACTATCTGGTTATTTCATCCCCTTCAACTGTTAAAGTTCTCTGGGCAGTTCACAGCAATTCATAAAACACAGATAAAATAGTAGAAATACAGCATGAAATTCATATGCAATAAACATGGCATAAAATTTCAATCTACAAAATTTAAAAGCAACTTAAACAACTAAAGTAATTTCAGTAAAAAGCTAGACCTGCTAAAACAACTGATATGTTGCATCATATCCCATTAAATGCTTGGAAGTTGAGGGCAGTTTTAAGTTGATGGTGAAAAAATGTCAGTGTTGGTGCCAGGTGGGCCTCGGGCAGGGGATCATTCCGTAGCCCACTGACTGCTCTAGAAACAAACTTGGCCAATGGTCAGCATGTTATTTACCACTAAGATTCAAGGGATAAGCGGGAAGTGCAATGTAGATGACACCTTAAATTGAGGCAAAGAAGCAGTAATTTATTTAACAGCAGAGGAGACCTTTGTATGAAGGTTACTTTGACGACAGGTTGAAAAAAAAAAGACTGGAGGGCAAAATTTCAAACAGACACTCATAACAACAGCCTATATGGATTTCTGAGGGAACAAGAGTTAATTGTTCATAACAGGTGAGTTTTCACTCCAACAGAAATGATTCAATATTTAATATTTCAGGACATACTTTTGCTTTTGCTTAGTTTCTCTTCTGTGCCTAACAATCTGACTGTATTCTTTAACCCAACTCTTTAACCCAGAGTATACTGACTGTTCCAAATCGTTCCTTCAGAAATTACTCATAGGCTGCCTTTCCCAAAGGATGAAAAAAGCAATCAAAGCAAAGTGCGAAAAGTTACCAAGGTTTTGGACGCATTTCTTCCGTAAAATCAATTTGCTGGAGCTGCTTGAAGAGAATGAAAACGTAGCGATGGTATCCAGTTCCTTTAGCAGGGAATGCAGGAAAGTAATGGCAAAGTTCCTTGCCTGTTTCTATTTGATTGCCCGGAATGTTTGCCCTGTTAATACAACATATGATTCAAAAGCAACTTTGTCTGGAACGACACACTATGCCTATTCAGATTACCCTCCTAAATCCAACTCCCCAGTGGCACCCACAGTAAAAATGGCAATTAAAGGAGCTTGATACAGTAAGAGCTTACAGATGTATGTCCCCGCTCTTTAACTTTTCCACATTTTGTTCCATTACAAAATGGAATTAGAATTATAGAATAGTAGAGTTGGAAGGGACCAACAGGACCACTGAGTCCAATCCCTTGCTCGGTGCAGGACTCCAAGGCATCCCTAATGGATGGCTGCCCAGCATCATCCTGAATGCCTCTGGTCCTGGAAAGCACACTATGTCCCTACGTAATTGGTTCCATTGTCATATTGTCAAGAAGAGATACTGACCCTCCTCTGTGAGACAGCCTTCAACTATTGAAGAAAACTGCCATATCCCGCCTCAGTCTTCTCTCTTCAAGGCTAAACATACCCAATTCTTCTGGCATCTCACAGGGCTTTGTTTCTAATCTCCTGATCATCTTTGTAGCCCTCCTTTGAATTTTTGCCAGTTTATCTGTAACTTTCTTAAACTGTGGTGCCCACAGCTGGATATGCAGTACTCCAGAAGCCTAACCAGTGCTGAGTAGATGGGAGCTAGCACTTCAGTGATTTGGACGTGACACTTCTATTGATGCAATCCAAATGAGCATTTGCTTTTCTTTGCAGCTGCTTCACATTGTTGTCTCATATTCAGGTTATGCTCTCCAACAAACTGGTGGCATTCAAAAACAAGTATATTTAACATGAGATCACATGGCAATAGAATTGCATGCTGGTAGACTCCATCAACTATTTACGATACGGTATGTGGTCTGTGGAAGCAATGGCTGGTGCTAGAGCAGGGTATGTCACAGCAAAGAGGGTGAATATATATGTAATCAACAAGTACCTGTTTGATTTTGTTTACTTAACTTTTGTTCCACAATAAAAATATTTGCACCTTCAAACTATTGGGCTTTTTCTTCAAATTGTTGTCCACAACACGTGGTAACAGTGGCAGTTAAATCCGTTCAATTTCTCTTTGTAACACAACACAATGTGAAAAAGCCAAAGGGGCTGTGTGAATACTTCTGCACAGCATTGTACACTCAAGCTAAGGCTCTAGCTCATGGGTCCTCAAACTAAGGCCCATGGGCTGGATCCGGCCCGCCATGCCCATTTAACCAGCCCGCCCCAGAGGTTTTTGCACTCACTGTGTGTGTGCGTGGGTGCACATGGGTGTGTGGCTTGCTCGTGAGGTCGTTTTGGACCCGCTTGGAGAAAATGATCTCCTCACGAGCAAGCTGGTGCCTCACCCCACACGCCCCCCACGTCCCTGCCTCACGTGCCCCACCCTCACCAGCCCACTGTTGAAAAAGTTTGAGGACCCCTGCTCTAGATCAATGTTTTTCAGACCGTGGTCCAGAGAAGCATGGGCCCCCCTCAATAAGAGAAACAATGGTGGACAAGCTCCCTGAAGAATGGTGGGTATATCCTAAGAGGTGTACATTCTGTTTCCATTGCTGTGAGAGCCATGGGGCCTCAACTGTGTTCTGCAAAACCAGACTTTGCATCCAAAGAAACATCAGAGAATCCTCTGCAAGTTGCACTGGTTCCATGGTAGATGCGCAAGCGTCCCAACAGATGAACCAATGCGGGAAAGGTTCTTTGAAGGAAGAGAACTGGAACTGCTGTCTATTCTTTACTTCTCCTCCTCTTTTCTGTGCTCTGAAAAGCACCCTCTTAGCTTGTCTTTCTTGTTTTTTAACTCTAGCCCCTTTATTTCTCTTAGCTGGGTAAGGATCAAAACGGGCACTTACTTCTGTATAATTGTGTATACCTTTGATTGATTCTTGGTGGTATCTTTAGATATATTTAAATATACGATGCTGTATTTTACATGATCAGATCAGTTTAGCCCAGGAGGGTTTACTCTGGCTAATCACTTTCTAGCACCTGCTCTCAGTGGCCATTCAAACTGGAGATGCTGGGGACAGAAGCGGGGACCTTTACGTGTAAATGCTTATGACACTACTAAGCCACGGCCCTTCACCCACACAATGTACGAATGACTGATGGGATTCATGAGTCAGCAACATGCACACTTTTTAAATACAGGTTATTTAAAACCTCAAATGGGAGAGCTGGCTTTTCAGCAAAAATAATAGAAATAGGATATGCTTTCTACCCAAAAAGCAGTTCCCAGTGTCCAACCAGACCTTGCTTCAATTGTTACCTTGCTCTAGCATCCATGTGTAAATAGTAATTCTGAACATAATATCTGAGGTGCTTTTACACTAGCTTCCTCATTTAGCAGGAACGTGGCTACTCAAAAGAAGCTGCAACAGAAAAGCCAAATCTTATTGCTTCCACTGTAAGCATCAGGTTCCAAGGCTGACATTTGCTGCATGTACCAACAAAGTCTTCATGACAGCATGGTGGTAGCTGAATATTACAGTTCAGTCCCAAGTTGGGTCAGAAACTTTTAAACTAATAGCAAAGCAAAAATGGATTCAGAAGCCAATACTCACACCAGCCAGTGGACATACTCTGAATTGGTATCACGCAGGTGCCCATCTGTGTGCACAAGAGATACAGAAATTAAATAATGTGAAAATTATTCCCTTGTTATTATGTAGCACTTTGCTATTCTCTCTCTTCCTGCATGAATTATTCCTTTTGCCTGCTCTAGCATGACCAGACCTCAAAAGCATGAGATTTCCCTCTTTTTTTTTTTTTTGCTACATCACTTCATTTTGTCATATTACTATGACATAAGTTTATCATGAAGTTAAAAAATATTATGGTAGTAGCGCTCCTACTGATAAGTAACTATTTTTTTGAAAACCCCTCTACCTTCCCTGACAAGTGTTATGAAGTGGAAGGCAAAATTCCAAAACACAATCTTGCCCCAACTTTGATTCAGTAAGCAACAAGATAGAATCCTCCTCAAGATTACTCAGTCTATCAAAGCCAAGTTGACCCAGACCTGCTATCCAGAATTTATCAAAGAATATTTGACTTCCATTTAATTCCTATTCAGAACTAAAATAAGTTATTCTACAAAAGGAAACTCAATTTCTCTATGGTTTTTTTGTCTGGATTTGTCTATTAGTGTGAACCTAAACTAAAAGTCCAGTAAAAAAATTGAGGCTCTTCTACTTGTAAGATAGGACAACCTGCTGAGAAAGTATCCTTAAATTATTTTTACTTACCCAGGTTAGTGAGAAGCAGGGTCCATAAAGATCCTTCATCTGCCTGAAATGTGACTTTGGGAGGATTTAAAGTCTAAGCAGAAAATACAACAGGGATTGTAAGGTAGCTAAATGGTTAAGATATTTGCCTAATGCAACATTATGGGCTTAACTTTTACCAGGTCTCTTACTTGGAAACTTTTTTCAGTCCAGTCAGCATCAGACAATTCCCATTACATCTTCCTTGCAGTAAAGATAACAAATACCAGCGTGCCTTATCATCAAATTAATATATCATAAAGTAGCCCAGGAAAGACTTTTCATTTTTTTTTAAAGAAAAAAACTGTAAAAAGTAGACAGTGGTGCAGGATTCGTTAACAGACATAAGCAACCTTAAAAAATACGTCCAACTGCAGAAGAGAAAGGAGGAAGAGTATAAGAGGAGATGCAGGGCCATTTCATGAGCCTTGCTGAAGAGCGCCTCCAACGCTCCTCTTCTTCCAGCTGTCACTACCAGCAGGCTATAGTAGGGGAGATGGCAATGGGAAGCAAGGTTATTCTATCAGCCCTGCTAAAAGTCTACTTAATTTCCCCCTTTCTTCCCTCCTTATTTCTTCTTCCTTCTACATCAAGTCTCTTCAGATTATATGCCTGCAGGCAGAGACAGTTTACTGATTATATGAAAGGTGTTCCAGTAGGCTTGGCTACCATCAACTCCATCATTTAGATGACAAGATAAAATCTATTTATTCTCCAGTGGTGCCTGCTGCTTTTATTAACAGGCTGCAATCCTACACACACCTACTTGGGAGTATGCTGTACTGAAGTCAATGTGTTTTCCTTCTAAGCACCTATGTAAAGGATTGTGCTGTTACTCAGGTTTTATTAAATATGATTTAAGACTGTGAGTTACTGCTGCTGCTGGGTTTTGACATTAGTAGTGTAGTTATACATCCAGGAAAAAACTGGTACAAGAATATTTTAGAAGTTTCATTTAAGTCATTGAGAAAGAATATAAGATAAAATTACATTCAATACAGCCAAGTTGCAGAAGATCCTCACCACTAGGGATGTTATTTTTCAGTACTCCTGTAAGTTTTGTATTACGTTTTAGAATTATGATAAGCATTATTTGATGTAAACTGACACCCACAATATCTGTCTACATTACAGGTGGTACTGGGTGATATTTACAGATGAGTGTTTCATTATTCTAATTCTGTGATATGCTTTATACACCATCAGGCTGGGGGAAAATCAATGAAGCACTCAGGATAAGTTTTTCTCAGAATAATTACTGGATTGGCCATGGTCAAATGAAACACAATAATATATGCGAAGGATATTCTCTTTTTCAAAACTTATATCCCCCGTACAATACCTCTGTGGGTGTAATCATATTCCCATGATAAACTGGCATAACATGTTCCTCATCATGGTTGTATTCTACTTTAAGATGAACTCGGGGAACAAATGTGGCATCATTAAACAAATCTCGATACAGTCCATAGTGTTCTGCAACTCGCTGCTTGTGATATGGGCCGCTGGTATTCTCCCATTCCGCCCTGCTTTCATCAAGTGGAATCAACACTGCAAGCACAAACACAGTAGGGAGGAGTACTGCATGAATAAGCTCTTGCAAATATGAAAAAATTAAATGTGGAAACTGTGACCAACGTACATGTCCTGAGACGGGATGCCCTTTCCATTTCCATATTCGTGAAATTTTGTTTCATTATGGCTTTTCTCTCTTCATATTTTTTTTCCCATGACTGTAGATGATAAGGTAGGCCAATGTTTATCTTTGCCTCTTCATCTAGGTTTTAAAAAGACCAAAAAATCCCACAATGTACTTTCTGCTTACAACCATATAATGGATAAACCATAAATGTTCAAGAAACTGGACAAGCCTAATGTTTCATTTTATGGCATAGGTTTAGTCTGCAATCTTTGAACCTACTATCCTATACTGAATATAATGTGTCCTCAATAGACTTGGAATTCACCTGGAATCTCTAATTTGCAGTAAGTGCCTACTGCATCTATGTGCATATATGTACAATTCTTTGAAGCAGATTAAGACATGCAAAGGCTCAATTCAAAGCTGTAAACTTCTAGTCCAGCTGCTTTGCATTTTAAACAAGGGAAATTCTGTCTCTCTTTAAAATCTAACTGCAAAAGGTAAACTATCACTGTTTGATTGCTTTTATTTTTTTCTGGTCAACCCCCACCCACAACAAACTATAGGTAATTCATTCTTTCAAATCAAATCTTATACATGCTTACTAAGTTGCACTGCATAGAATAGAAATAACTCCCACAGGACTGCACTTTACATAGGAGAAAAATTGATCATTGGTGGAAAAGAGGAAAAAGAAAACTGGACCAGGCTTTTGTGGCCTCCCTGACAGAGTACCTTGTTGAGGAGTGATGTATTTCTTGTAGGATTTCCACCAATGAGGCTTCTTACTCTCTTTTTCTGCTTCCTTGAAGTAACGGGTGAAGGTGCGATACTTTTCCAATACTTCCAAGTTACTGACATCAATATCTTCATTAGGCATTGGTCCCAGAGGTATCCCCAGTTTGCAGACAACAGCTAAACACAATTTGGGGGTTTTGTTTTATAAACTCAGTTGTTCAATCAGAGGTACAGTAGTTGGGTCTCTTCCCTCAAATAAAACCATCCCAAGTAGAAACTGAACAGTAAAATGTCACTGGCAAACACACAGCAGATGCAGAAATAATGATGGTATTCAAACTAAAACATGTTTTAATGCTAAAAATTGTTTAGACCTGTTATTTTCTAAAGCTTCAAAGAATGTTCTAGCGGCAGCTTAGCAATGCATGAGAAAAGATTAATAACTCAGACATTAGTAAACTGAGTTAGTTTACTAAACTCAGTAAACTCAGCGTTTGTATGTATCTTTATTCATCCATTCTTCGCTATTTTCAAATATTTGCAAAGGGACAAGCGTTACTTCCAAGAAGACTAGTGTGTTTACGTATTTTAAAGTTAACAAACGCGCTTATTTTCTTTTAACATCTTCTGAGCTCAGATAAGCTTGGCCAGCAGTTTACATATTTCATTGGACATTCGGATGCAGGCACAGCGGGGGACCGAAGGCAACGTGGACCATGCAACACTTTCACCGAAGCGGAGCCGGGGGCCACCACTCACCAGTCGTGCTAAAGCTTCTGTCCCTTCGCATTCCATTCAGCGCGGCGCTCAACACACGCGCGGCCATCTCGCCAGCTGCAGTCGCTGCGTCGCTCCAGCTGGAAAGCCCCCTCGTCGCTTGGCTCGCTCGGGGTGACGTCACCCAAGCAAAGCTGTCTTCGCCAGTGCCTGCCTAATAGCCTTTAAGAAAATAAATAAAAAATCAGTATTTACACGAGTCGCTTTTTCAGACAACGAAGACGGTCGCGACCCTTAAAACCGAACATATTTAAAAGCCCGGTTCGTCAAAAAGTTTTCCGCACAAGAAGAAGGCCCACGGAGCTCGGTGCTGAGTACTCTCAGTTCCTACTCTGTTCTTTTTTGTCGCCAAATAGATGAGCAAAAATGTTCCTAAATATACCAAATAGATGTTAGAAATGTAAACAAAAACCTGGTACTTTTTATCATATGTGGTGGACTTGTGATAAAGCCAAAAAAATACTTGGTTAAAATGCATAGATGGGTTGGGGAAATGCTGCAAAAACCTCTAATATTTAAACCTGAAATATTTTTATTAGGCATGCTCCCTGACGACCTTGATAAACAAAGTGCATATTTGATTTTACATGTAATTACTACGGCGAGGATTGTATTTGTACAATATTGGAGGAATGAAGAACCACCGACTGAGGAACAGATTTTAAAGATTTTGGATTGTGCAGAAATGGACAGACTGACTTTGTCTCTTAAGGGGAAAGAAGATACATACTTCTATCAAACTTGGGACTATATGTAGAGCTGAAATATATAATAATTGTAATAAGATACTAACCCAGTATGGCCGATGTCTTTGGAATCACTCTCGTTTTAGTTTAAATTGACAGAGAAGATAATAAAAAAATTAAAATCCTACTCTTCGTTTTGCAATACGCTAATAAACCTCTGGTGTTTTTAATATTTTCTTCTTAGGGATGGAATAATAAACTGAAAAGAAAAGGCATTCGTACTCAAATGAAACCTCATATGTATTTTTGCTTTATTTTTGCAAGGAGGATTTGATAGCCACCCTCGAAATAAGGTTGTTAAAGAGAACTTCCCCAGCAATGGACTTGGAGGGTTTTTATTTAACTGCACTCAGTACCATGTAATTATAAGATCTCTGCGGTTTTTACAGCTCAGAGCTATGCATACTTATTCAGAATTAGCTCAGCTGTACTTACCCTTGCTAGTGGCATGTTTAGGAACCAGTAAATGCGATTATAATTGGGCCATCCACAAGGTTGCCCGTTTCCCTAAGTTGTCAAGTGTTTGCACTGTAACAAATATTACCCTATACATGTCCGTTGGAAAGTTTGTCCCACTGAATACCTGTGTAAGCGTGGATTGCATCCAAAGTATAAAAACGGAAGAGAAGGCTGCTCAGTCTAGAGGAGCCAACCAACCATACAAACAGTCTGATGTGGTGGTGAGAATGCTGGACTGGGGACCTGGAGATCTGGGTTCCAGTGCCCATGAAGCTCACTGGTTGACTTTGGGCCAGTCACTCATTCTCAGCCTAACCGACCTCACAGGGTTGTTGTGAAGATAAAACAGAGAGAAGAGCCTTGTAAGTTGCCTTGGAGTCCTCCCATGAGGAAAAAAGGCATGATATAAATGCAATGTAATAATAATACTGACAGTCTCTTTGTCTGCGTATCAAGGGAGCTTCCTGCCAGAGGGATCCTTCCACTACTCAGGACGAGTTGTAGATGCTTTGCTGCCTGAAGTAAAGGACAAAGTAGTGTGGTGTGTGAATGTAACCCTGTGTTATTATCCTCATATTGTAGGCTGGAAGGCTAAGAGCGTGGCTGAGTACACACATCATGACAAGTAATCCAGTGTAGTTTCCACATGGATGTGCTTGACCAAGATCATCATGGTAATTCTCCTCCTGTCCACCATTTGCTTTCTTCCCAGTTCCCCAGGCAATATCCCAGGAGGCAGTGTGGGGAGGAATGAGACTCCTCTCTTAGACCACTGCAATTGTGAGCTGAGTTTGGCTTGCTGCAGCAGTCAAGCAGTCTGGTGTACAAACAGGGCTCATGGCCTGAAGCACAGCAGAGGGGACAAGAAGCTGGTCAGGCACCTCCTGCTGCAGAAATTCAGTCCCACACTAGATGGCAGGCACCTGCAGCTGCTGATCTTTCCAGGGAGTCTGTTGTGGCTGCATACCAGGGCCATGGAAACCTCAATGCCACATTCAGACAACTGGAGAAACTGTAAACTGTGGAATCCATTGTATAGACCATTTTCTTATGGATGTTTCTAAAAACCAGATGTACCATGCTGAAATACCATGACAGGGTTTGGATGGCATGATGGACCAACTTGCACTAAAAACCAGTATGGCATTTGTCATGTGAACCTGCCCTTTGGCTGTGTTCAGACAACATGACATTCTGTCATTTTCCTCCCTTCATGCATTCAAGGCAACAGACTGTTCTTTTGGAAAATGATCTTTATTCACCACAGTATGCCCAATAAGCTCTCTCTGAGCATGCACAGAGTGGTTTGTTGAACTCAATTTAAATTACTACTACTGGGAACCCTCATTTTATGTATGTCTGTGCCCAATCTCCTTGAGAGGGCCTGTGTGGAAATGAGTGCTCCTTTTCTCTGCGTGCTGATCTTCTAGTTGACTAGTTCTCTTCTCCTGATGTTGTGCCATGGGGTCAAGAGTTGTGCCAGCTGTGCCTGTTTTGAGAGTTCCTCTCCCATGCCTCCACTTGACAGCTGTACAACTTGGTTATTCTCAGAGCCTGCCTGAGGACTTGGGAAGAGTGGCCTTGAGATAAGTGCCTCCACATCTCTCATCTCAAAGTCTGAGGGCCAACTTTCCCTTGCCCCTTTCCCTCCTCTGTTTCATTGTCAGACTCAGAGTCCAGATCGAAGTGACCCAGGAGTGTGCTCCAAGAACAACTGCCACCCTCATCCCCTATACAATCCATGGTAGTTTACTATTTTTGGTCTGTTGTGCTGTTGGAACCCAGTTGTGGTATTTCTCCATGGTAAGTTTGGTCTTTAGCAACCATGATAAGAAGCATCAGCTTGTTCTATGGTTTCTCTGTATCATCATGGCTTGTCTGAACCCAGGATTGTAGTTTCCATGATCCTGGTATGCAACTACCACAGAGTCTTCTGGAAAAAGCGGCAACTGCTCCAATAATCCAATCAATATGTGTGGACCACTAAGGAAATAGCAGGTGACTTAGGCAGGGGCTAATTGAATTTGGGTTGAATTAGCGGCTTGGGTTGAATTTCTGGCACCGTGGTTGATGAGATACATGCCAATAGTGGGAGGACTGAGTGGGGAGAATGGAAACTATGATAAAGTAGAAGCTTGATTTTCTGTCAGGTAGATCATGGTAAAAAGCAGAAACCATGGTAACAAAGCAGGATTGCTTGTTGTGTGAATGCAGCCACTGAGTTATGACAATCTGCAATGCAGTCCAGTGTCACCTTCATCTTACCACAGGTAGAAGTTTATAACAAGCTCGTAATACAGTGTCCTGTTTCAGTATCACTGGGAAGTGGAGGCATGAGAGAGATGAAGCTGTGAAAATGGCTTAGGACAGCTAAAATGGAACATTATTCTGATGTTGATAGGGTTAGGTTAGCTGCCATCACCCCAATTTATGAGTATATGAAATATATATTGGGTATGTCTATAGTTACAATGTAGATAATAAAAGGACAGGCACTTTGGTTCAGATACATTATGTTCTGGCTGCTTTTTACTACCAGAGGCTGTTCTACACTATGAATGGATCCAAAACTTGGTTAGTGTGATACCTGAATCTGTTTATAAAGCAGGTTGCCTGTAGCATGATAACAGAATTCCTTAAGTTAAAATAAATTAAGTGAAACTGGTATAGTACATCTGAGATTACCCAAAAGCTTCAAATCTAAATTTAGCTAAAAAGCCAGTTTTATCAAGTCAGTATCATAAGACAACAATCAGTGATTTAATATTCCAAATACTTCATGTATATTATTTTTAGAAAAGCTTACAACAATCCTGTATTAAAAGTGGAAGTCTGTGGGCTGAACGAGCCTTGAAACTGAGGGGTTCAAAAGCAGTGTGTGTGTCAGGATACTGAATCTGGATCGGAAACACAGTAATTTGAAAGGGTTTATTTCACCCATAATGTAACTGCTGTCCTCCTTCCTAAACAGTAGCTAGAGTAGGAGATGATTTAAGTAGTGAAAAGGGGTTACTCTCTCCCAATTCAGAAACTTTAAATCAAGAAAAAATGGCAGGAAATCCAATCACAGGTTGCCTATGAAACATCTATTTGGGTTAGTTGTACATTATCACAGTAATCTTTATAACATGAAATACAATGCTACCTTGGCTCACAAGCTTAATCTGTCCCAGGACTCTGGTTGTGATCCAAATTGGTCATGTTCCAAGTTAAATTTCCCCATAAGGTTCAATGTAAATGAGGTTAATCCGTTCTGTAACTTTTTTTTTTTAATCAGAAAAATGTGAAGAAGCAAAGTGACAAAGAACAACAAAGATCGTGGTCATCTCCCCTCACCCCCACCCCAAGCACGACCGCAATGGTGCCCGTCATCCCTGCACGCACCTGTCATCCCGGCGTGCTGGTGGGGGAGAGACAGGTGCGAACATGGGTGCGCTCAGGGGCGGGGGGGAGATGGGCACAATCATGGGCGCGCTCCTGCAGGAAAGACGGGCGCAATCTCAGCCATCTCCCCTCACCCGACCCCAGCACGATCGCAGCCATCTCCCCACTAGGGGCAGGGCGAGATGGCCGCGATCGCAGTCACCACCCAATGCGGAGTTTGCCACCTGAGTCAAAATTTTAATGAAATTTTTGATAGCAACCCGATTTGGTCATGAACTGAGGCATTTGTGAGCCGAGGTACCACTGTAGTCTGCATCATCATAAATGCTGCTTCATAAATCTATAAACAATTTGAGTTAGGGTTAGTTTAAAAATGATGGGCCTCACATGATCATAGCTGGAAAAAAGGACTTCAGCCATAATCAAAACTAACTAGTGTGACCTCCAGTGATGTGTTCCAGTGCAGGGTGCTGAAGTTTAGAATTTCAGGAACTCCATTCACTTCCCCTATCCTCATTGGGTTGTTTGTGGGTGTTTCCCCTACCCATTTATTTATTTGCTAATTTGTTTCTATTTTTGCAAACCTCAGCATTCCCTAAGTCTGTTGATAATTATGCATTATAGTACATAATTATATAATATATATATAATAGTGCCAGTTTGGTTACATAAGGCCCAGTATTCAGTCATCTAAGCTTACTCTATGTTAAGATGTGTACAGAGCTTGGTAAACATTACCTGTTGATTGCTGTAGAGACCAGATCAGAATCAATATGATTGTTGAAACTCTGTCGCTGCTGGTTTTCTTTAGAAGGAAGAAGAACTTCCTTCACTCTCAGATACTGGACAATTTATCTCCCGCTCTCCACATCATCTGTTCCATTTATTTGTATAGCTAAGCCCTGTGATGTCCTATACCGCCTAATCAAATCATTGTTCTCTTCTGTTTCTATGAGTTTCTTACCATGTAGCAACAATCCAAATAAGTAGTATGTATCTCCCTGATGGAAGTTCTAATGAGAAAGAGCAGACAGTGGCACATAGTGATTAAATAGCCAGCTCTTCCTGCTAAATTATATTAGCAGTTGAAGGTTATATATATATTATTAAAGTAATGTTGAGGCTGTTGAAGAGGGTAGGAGTCAGGGGAGCGCATCATGCTGTTTCTCTGAGCAGATTGTTCTTCTGGGTCTGTAGGCTTTTATGAAGCTTTTCAGCCTTAATGTGATGTGCCTGGCTAGCAGCATAAATAACCACAGGTTTGCACAGCTGCTGAGAAGATGCAGCTCTTACAAAGAAATAATGAAAATGGAAGAAGTGATGGAATACTGTTGAAAAACACATCCATTAACTCCATTTTACAGCTTAATAGCACAGAGGTTAATCTGGTTGGTGATGGCTTGGCTATCTGTTAAATCAGCTTTTCTCATTTATTCACTGTGACCACAGCAATAGCTTCGGCCAGGGGAACAACAACAACAACAACTAGCAATTTAGAAGCTGGAAAGCTGTCCCCATTCCCAACAAACCACTGGAATACTTTAGCAGGGGGAATATGTTTAAACATGTGTAGCACGTTTAACCTAAAGTTTTATACTGGGAACAAATTCCTGATTCAAATTATTTTTAAAACACCCATAATTTGTACAGGCATGGTAGTTACAAACTGAAGCTGAAGCAGATATTGGGCACACTGGATAACGTTCCATTGTGCTGATAAACTCATTTTTGACAGAGTGTTCTTAAGCAGTGAAGCCTGACGTTTACATTATAAATTAAAAAATAAGGCTGATGCTCCCAGGTTGCCACATATCATGTTGCTCCAGCAACATAAATCACAGGAGTGGGATCATGTACAAAGATCACAAGGGTCCAAGCTCACTGTTCTTAGGATTGCAGCCTCAAGCTGAAATCTTAGACTTATTTACCTGGAAGCAAGTCCCATTGAACTCAGTGGAGCTTCCTTCTCAGCAGGACTGCACAGAATTGCAAAATCACCGACTTCTTTTGGGCCAGAGATGGTGGGAATGGCCCCCAATAAAGAAATGCAAGGTGATGATGGGGTGGAGGCGTGTGATATGGCCAGAGGCACTCTCCAGCCCGAAAAGGACCCTGTTGTGCAGACAGCTTCAGCAAAAGAGAAGAGCCTATACGATTGGCAAAAGCAAGGGTTTACAAGACATTTTAAAAAATCTTTATTTTACAGTTTGTAGTTTCTGCCAAAATAGGGTTTAATTGTTATTTACATACTTAATTCCCCATGAAAGCATGTTTAGCCATTCAAAGAGATAAACTCCAGCTTTATTTCGGAAAAAGCACCAATCCAGGCAGGGGTGCTACCACGACCCACCTACTTTCATACCAACTGGGATGGTGTATTGTAGGAAGCTTTCTTCAGTGTTTCTAAGAAGAACTGCTCTTCTTCCAGGAAATCATGATCCTGTTTTTTAAAGACACAACACAGAGGAAGAAAAGAGGATGAAGACAATGTTAGTGAATCAAGGGGTCCTTGGTAAAAGAATGCGAAACTGCATGCTTGGGTCTCAGATAATCAAGGTGATCTCTTTCTGTCTCTGTCTGGTTAGTTCATGGTGAGCTAAGCAGAGCTCTAATTCAAATATGCATGCAGCAATTAAAAGCTGAGATAAAGGCAAACAGATGAAATAAAGATTGAATGATGGTATGAGGTCTGATATACAGGCCTGGTGCAGATGTAACATGCCCAATCCATAGTAGATCAAATGCTGGAGAAGGTACTCTTACTCTTTCTGCCGTAAGCTTATGCAGCACAAGCTTGGCATAGAGGTCTGCTGGTCCTGATCCTGGGAGACCCTGGGAAGCTCCAGTGTTGGTAGAGTTGACTACGGATAGATCAGGGAGAGGCACATCTGGGAAGAAAGTAAAGTATGGTAATGGTGTAAGGCTAATAATACATATTCAGGTATTTATTTATTTATTTATTTGTTTCGATTTATATCCTGCCTTTTTCCTACAAAGGGCTCACGGCAGCTTACATCATTCTCCTCCTCCATCTTATCCCCACAACAGCAACCCTGTGAGGTAGGTTGGGCTGAGAGTCTGTGACTGGCCCAAAGTCACCCAGTTGGTTCCATGGCTGAGCGGGGACTAGAACCCAGATCGTCTGAGTCCCAGTCCCATGCTCTTAACCACTACACCATGCTGGCTCTCCATTTCTCATGGGTTTCTACTGAGAGTTTAATCATCTCCCTGAGGACTCCACAACACTAAAGCTATCGAGGCAGACCCTGATTGCTTTCCTTAAGCATTATGGGTCAATAGTTATTTTATCAAGAAATATTGATGGATCAAAGGGGCTGAGCTTTGAAGGATAAGGCTAGGGATGACTACTAGTCATAATATTGGTGGCCCCATGCATCTGTAAACCAGCTGCTGGGATGTATGAGTGGGAGGGTGCTGTTGCTCTCATGTCCCGCCTGTGGGCTTTCCATGGGCATCAGGTTGGCGCATTCCATGGATCTGTGAGGGCCTTGGTTCAGAACTGCTTGTACCAGTCATGGGCTGGGGGGTGAGAGAATGTCCTGCTTTTGGCTAGCTGGTGAAGTTCATTAGGTGAGCAGGGATGGGAGCCTGAGGTTTTCCCACACAAAAGATTTGAGGGGCTCTCAGGACAGCAATCTTGCACTTTTACTCTTGTTCTTTCTACCAGACACACTCCTTGAGGGGGCAATTTATGGCTGTGCAGCTACTTACAGTGCACACTGGAGATCACGTTGGCTTGAGCAGCTGACAATGGCAGTTGGGGTACAGTCTGGAACAGTGGTGGATTGCTTGGAAGTCCCACCCGCAGCTGTTCAAGCTGTCTTCTCTGATTAGACATACTGAGCCGCTCCTGACCCAGTCCGCAGGAGGGAAGGAAAAAAGAACATTCCAGAAGGAGAAAACTCTCTGAGAAAAGCAAGCCGCAGCTGCAGGTGCATTTTTGGTTTCAGCAGATGCTTTTCATACATTAGCGCTGTGTGTGTATATTATAATCAGTCCATCTAGACTCAAAACGTTGGTAGGGACAATGCTGTAGCGAAACTTCAGAGCCATTACCTGGTGTAGCTGTTCCTCATGCTGCTTGAGCCGTTCCATCTGCTGCTGCACAGCATGCAGCCGTGCCTGATGCTCAGACTCGACCTTCCTTGCCTCCAGGAGGGCTCTCTCCCCTTCTTCATACTTCTGGGAGGAGAGCTGTGCAGTGCAAAGGGAGAGGGCAAGGCTGTGATCTGAGCCCAGCAGGACATTGCCCTGGAACCCATTTTTTGGATCAGGTGTCAATGTGACACACTAAATTAAATGATTTTATGCTCCAGCAGGGGGCCTCAGCTCACTGCCCAGTGTGATAAAATCGATTTCACCCTGCATACATGGTAGGGACGTTTCCTTGCTCTTTTTACATTTCTGATTTGCACTATTGCCTAGTTCAGAAAGCATCATCTTGGTCCAATAAGCTATGGTTTATTAGTCAAGGAATGAATTTTGTGTCCATGTGTCCAGCATCTCTTCCCTGACATGCCTAGCATCAATAAAGATGCTCTGGTTTCTTAAATCACAGTTTTCCTTGACATCTGAATCAGGAAGCTGTGGTTTAAGGGTCCTCTCCAAACCAGACTTAGAAAGCAAGGATACAGGAGGCTGTTGGATTTTTTAAAAGAAGAAATATAGTGTTATATAAAGTGCCATGTGGAACTCTTATTTTAACTCTATCACTGTACATAAATATCTTAGCAACACTACTTTCAGCTAGAATTGTGTGCTTTTTTATCTGAAGCCAAAGGTTCTATAGCACCGATCCAGCATTTGGCCTTGTAACTTAAATGTCCAAAATTATCCTAATTTCAGTATTGCCATTTACTACCCCCACATTTACCTGACTACAGGCACACACCAGTGCCCAAATGCACCCACTAGGAGTTTTTCCCCATCTACACTCAGTCCGCCTCTTGCTTGGTTTCATCGCTCTCATCCGCAAGGTGCACTGCAGAGCCATATGAGCTCTACTAGAGAACGGGCACTTGGGTGATGCTGCCAGTGCTGCCTGTGTCATCTCTGTATTTAATGATAAATTTCACAGCCTTTTTCTTAAGCAAAATACAATCAATCTTGATAAACAAAAGAAGTGATCTTAATTCAGGCTTTCCAAGGAAACAGCACAAATTATTTCCCTTCAAATTTTCTCCTTCCAAAAGTAAATGGAGAGGGGTGTGGTGTCTCTATAATTTAGCAACTACAGTGGAAGGGTGCGGCTCTGAAGAGGCACTCGGACAATACTGCCTCTTGCTTCTCCTAGCATGAACAGAAGCGGTTATGAAGAGAGAAGGTGGTTTTCCTACCTTGCTCATATTGTTGATTTCGCTTGCCCTCTGCTTAATGTGCAAAGCTGCTGCATTAACTCTTTCCTTTTCCAGTCTCAGCTCCTGCTTCTCTTGCTCCAGAATCTCCCGGTCTCTAGCCAACTGCTCCTCTTTGTATCTTAGCTCACTGGCTTTGATTTTCAGGTCTGCTTGTTCCTAATAAAAAGAGCTCCAGCAATTTTCTACCTTGTATTTTTGTGAACAGGATATAAAACAGCTCTTTACATTAAATCAGACCCATCTAGCCAGATACCTACCACGTGTTCAAAGTGACAAAATTCATTTTAGTTAACTTAATTACTGTGGTTTATTTTTCTATGTCTATACTGCATTTTTATTCACACTGCAAGCTGTTCTGGATAGAAGAGTGAAGTGGATATCACAAATTCGTATAATGATGAGTATCATTTAATAGTTGTACACTTAGTAAGAGCTGGAAAACATCTGGCCTTCCCAACGCAATTAGACTGCAATTCCCATCATTCATTACCATTGGCTATCCTGGCTGGGGTTGATGAGCTACAGTCCAACACCTGGAGGACAAGTGTTCCCCACTTCTGCCTGAAGCCATTCATGCAGCATTATTTCTATCAGCCCCTTTAAAAGACAGGGCTCTGTATGCCACTGGTCCATTACCCAGATGCTCTTCGATTCTCCTGCCCTTTATTTTTGCTCCATGCATGCCATGGTTGAGCTGTAGTTCTGAAAGAGCTAAGTGAGTTCCAATTAAGCCCCCTGTACCTTTGCAAGGCTCATGATGGCGCCTTCTCTCTGAGAGTCAATCTGGAGAGCCCGGTCAACCTCTCGCTCTGTGCGCTCTTTGCTCAGCCTCTGTTGGGTGTGGAGCTCTGACCATTCTGCTGCAAGTTTACGACGCTCCTCAGCACATTTCTGCATGACTGTCTTCTGTTCTTCAAGCAGAGAATTCTGGGAACAAGGATGAGTAGTGGCACCCCGTTTTTGAAAGAGAGGTACACCTGACACCCTCTTTGCTTTCTTTTCGGTGCCAAGTTAAAAGGTTTTTATTTTCCAGATATTTTAATAGATAAGCACTAGTTTTAATGCTGCTTTTACGATTACTGATGCTGTGCCTTGTGTTAATCTTAATCATAGTCCCTGTGGGTTGTTGATGCCATAGTATTGGTTTTATTGTTGTATTTTTAAATATGATTATGCTATTGGCTGTTTACATGTTTTTTAAATTTGTAAACCATCCAGACACCCCTGATGCTAAAAGATTGAAATGTTCCTCTTAACATGTAATTAGTAGCAGTAAGGATTTTAAGCTAGGTAATATTAGTATTTTTTAGTATTTCTGATATTTTTGGCCTTGCCGTCTTTGCTTTTGAGCTCAAAGCAATGCAGCCCCCAAGAATTTCCACAAAATTGAATTTTGCCCTCCGTCTGAATGTGGATTAACACTGCAGATTTTCAGTGACTGATGTCACTGCTTTATTCAAACAACATGGACACCTCTAACCTTTGCCCTCTCTAACTCTTCCCTTTCCATGGCCAGCTGCTGTGTCATGACCCTTCTTTGCTCCTCAAGTGAGTGCTGTAAGGAGTCCACCTTGGATTGTTCTGTTGTCACTCTCCAACGTTCCTGTGGTAGAAAGACACAAGTTGGCTCAGAAAAAGGCTTCTCTCTTTGTAGACAAGAGCACAATTTGAGTTCCACACTTATGTATATTTTGACAGAAAAAAACCTACAACTCGCAGTATTTCCCAGCCAGCAGCTGGAGTATACTAGGAGTTATAGGACTTTTTCTGTCAAGACATGCAGAGCTGAAAGGGTAAATTCCATACTATATGGATACAAAAAGAAGTAGGTGCTAACAGAAACAAAACAGATCAGTGCTTTGTCTTATTTTGTTTTACTCTGCTATTATAGAAACACTGTTTTCTCTTCTCATTTCAATATACTGCAGAAAAATGAATGTAATTTAGAACCACACTAGAAGTTTTAGAAACATGTTCTTTAAATGATCATTGTAAAAAAGATTTCAAATTTGTTTTTTTTTTTAATATAACCAGAGTTGGTAGGTGAAGAAAAAATGCATGTTTGGGAGATTTATTCTTAAATCTACGTTAATATGGATTTTGTATTCTAAATTAAGCAGGAGCTTCTTTAGAGTCAGTAAGATAAATTAGACCCATTCCTCAGTTCTTTAAATGCCATATTGTCTCAAGAAAAATGTCCAGCCTTTATCAACATGTATATGGTTAAAAATTTAAGTCATTTAAGGACTTAAATGCCTTCACTAAAAATGCATGTATGCCTTCGCTAAAAGTAAAACTTGACAAATTGTACATTTGCTTACTCCTTCTGTGAAGATAGATTCTCAGCCCTCTGCTGGGTTCACACACTCCCCAGTGCTCAACATAATGTCATCTCGCTTTCTGTCACTCCTACCCCAATGCTTATATGCCCCCCAAATAGCAGGGGTGCAAAAACTCAGGCAGAGGAGCCAAATCAAGACCTCCAGGGTTCCCAAGATGTCCATGCCCACCTCCCATGCCACCATCCACCAGATGTTGGGTAGTTTCCAGAGTTTTTTGCAGCTTTTTTCTTCCACTATGAAGTGCCTCCCCTAAGGCTTAGTTACCGGCAGAAAGGGTTTTAAGCTGAAGTATGCTGGTATTTAGCCCTGCCCAGTTTGCTTCTGGCCCAACCGCCAGTGGCACACAGCTCCAAAATGGAATTGGGCCTCACCTGATAAAGCTTCTACACCATTCCTGAACAGACTCCCTCATGGAATATTCAGGCTCACTGTTCAAGTGAAACTCAAGTCAATTTCACTTCATAGCCCTTCACTCAGATCTTTTCCTGAAAGTGACCTAAGCGCCACTAGGAGGCAGCATCTGATTGACCATTAAGTTCTAATTTTTCTGTAACACTAGTACGTAAGCAGAAGAAGATTCAGAAAAGCATTTTCTTTTTGTCTATCAGGAACTTAAGCAGCCCTAAAGCCAGCTGCTGCCAGCAGTGTTGATGTTATCTGTGGTGGGGTGCGGGGAAGGGAGGCAGAATAAGCCAACGCTTGGTTTCCAGTTCCCAGATGCCTGCCATGAAATGCTTCTTGTCTCGTGTCGGCTCACCTGCTCCAGAAGGCGGGTCTGCTCATTTAGCCTGGCCTCCATTTTCGAGATGACTTCCTGCAGCCGGCCTCGCTCATCTTCCATGTCTCTCTGCTGCCGGATGAGACGGTCTTGCAGAACTTTCAGACAGGAAAGGCGGAGGGGTAGAGAAAAGAATTACCACCTCTCTGCAGTCTCCAAGGGCTAGCAAGCCAGTTTTTGTCCAAACTGCACTACTGCAAACTGCACTATTGTACACACTATTGCTGACAGTGTGCTGGGGCATATAACCAGTGCTGCCCAGTGCCTCTCTCCACACATTTCCAATAGAGCTGCAATTATACTTTGGCCAGGTGAAGCAGAAGACAAGGCGTTCACAGATGGCAGCCTCCTGTATGTCCAGTTTACTCTGGCCAGAAGCAATCAGGAGTGCAGGAACCCCACTGCACCACTCCTATGCTAGTCTCAGCCAGCTCTGTGCCCCAGCAGGAGAATCCGCTGCAGCTGATGGAGTACCTCTCACCCATGAAATGTGAGCCACCTTGAGTTGAGCCTTTAGCATTAGCTGGGTAGCTAGGGTGAGGGCTTTTAAGGTGCAGTGGTGTCTTGGCCACATGGAACCACACATGACATTATGCTACAGGGTGAATTTCCATCCAGCTCATGCAGTCTCCAAACCAATGCCTAAGGAGCTCACGGTCCCAAAAAGCAGTCAGACAGTTTGTTTTTTTTTAACTATGATGAAAGCACTCTGCTTAATCACTCAGGCTCTTGTAGTAAACCATGGACACAGTGAGGGGAACACTCTAATTTCAAAGGGTAACAGATCCACAGCCAGATCTTAGACAGGGCAGGGCAACTTCCTGCCTAACCTTCCTAAGGGACACAGTGGACCACGACTGCCATATTGGTTTGAGCTCACAGTTCATTCTTGCTTTCAGTTTCCCACAGTTGCCATTTGGTTTATACTTGGTTTTACTGTGAGTGCAAAATGAATCTCTCAGACAGAGCTGAAGTGCATTATTGCCTGCTTACATCCTACTTGATCAGAGCATCGTCTGAGGACTCTACCTCAGGTGGCAAACTTGAGGCGCAATATGGAAGTGGCAACATTTGAGGGAAATTTTGATCATGCTCCTGACTCTTACAGCAGGATGTGTGTTTTCAAGATGATGCCTGGCATACTCCATTCACAGGTTTCCCATGGTGGTTGCTCTTTGAAGCCCAAAGGGCCCATCTGGCCCATCTGGTGAGGCAACAGGGAAGCAGCTCTCTGGAAGACTCCAGGCAAGCCCCCTGTGCTTCACAGAGCAAACCCTCCAGGGGGCCTGCACACAGTGCAACGCCAGCCATCATCTGGAAGGCTTTGTTTTTTGGACAGCGTGTGGTTTAGTCCCACCCACTGCCCCCAGCAGCATAAAGGCTAAGCGCAGCTTGATCCTGGCTGTAGCAAGCTGGAACAACCACTTGGCTTCGATTCCTACTCATGTCCAGGCCTGGTCAGCCTTGTACTCATTTAGTACTTTACTCATCTATTGAGAGAAACAGTACAAGGGCAGTATTATGGGATAGCCCAGAAAAAAAAAGTGGATCGAACCAAAGCTGTTTTTTGGACGTGGACACAAGCCAAGTTGACAGTGCCCCAGAGCATTCGACTTGGGGTTTCAAGTGTCTAAAGGGCACGTACCTCTGAGCTGTTCATCCCTTTGGCGAGCCCCGATCTCAAGCCCTTGGTGTGTGGTGTGGTGAGTGGCCTCCACTTTGTTGGCAATCTCGTTCAGGTTGCCGGAGAACTTCTCCATCTGGTCTATGATGCCATTCAAAGACCTGCAAAAGCCAGAAGGGCACTACATTGCCTAGCAAGATACATCCACTTGTGCCCCACTGGCTTCTTTACAGAAAGAGCATGATGAGCCAGAAGCGATTTTACGTAGGCAGCAGTGAGATTAAAATGCTGGATGTGAGCTGGACCCCTTCTGCTACTTGGACATGCAGAGGGCTCCATTTTGGAGAGGAATATAGCCACGGCATATTGGCCCAGGTTGTGCTTGTGGCATTTTCAGTCAGTGTTGCCAAATTATCAATTTGAAATCCTTGGACCAAAGCCTTAACATGCTCAGGACAATGCTTAGGACTATTATATGAATATACCCACTGTCTTTCCTATATTTTAAACTAGTTTAAAAGGATGGAGAATTTTCCTCTGCTCTGTTCAATTTTACTAAAATGTGCTGACAATGTGCACAACTACCTGCAAATTACTTCTGGCTGCCTTTCTGAACTTAGTGTCATCTAAATGCTGTAGATTTCAACTCTCTTCAGCCACAGCCAGCAAGGCCAAGGGTCAAGAATACTCGGAATTGCAGTCTAAAGTATTTGGAGAGCACCAGGTTGGGAAATGCTGAGCAACACTAAAAAGGGAAGGGCACCTCCATCCCACATTCCACATTGTATCCCACCATGAAGCAGCAGCAGCATGGAGATCCTACTTCCTCTCTTCAGTCAGTGATCACATCCTCCTGCTAGCCATGAATGTATCCCAGACCGCAGAAGAGCTCATTCCTTGTAGATAGAGAGGGTCTCGATTTGTATACATCTCCAAAAATTCTTACATACCTGGCAATTCTGCCCTGCTGCATTCAACTAACTCCCTGTTGGATGCTGCAGCTGAAGACAGTTCTGGCGATTTCCAGTAGACAACCTTAATCTGGCCTATCTTGCCAGCGCATGAGCCTTGGACACAATTTTCATCTCCTCCATCCATGCTCCTTGTTTCCTAGCTCTGGGATTCAATCCCTTGGGATCACAGGTAAGCAGCAGCTCTTACCTGGTGTAAGAGGTGGCACTGGTCACTGCGTCTATCTCCTGAGCCTTTAGTTGTTTCAACTGCTGAAGTTGCTCTTCATGATCTTTACGCATTTGCAGAATGGACATCCTGGGGACCCCAAGGAAAAGCAACAACACATCCTTACTCAGGTACTGAAAATTTTAAAAGGTGGCTCTTCAGTATATACAGGTACATAGGCATGCTCTGGAATCACATAGAAAGCTTTGAAAGATTAAAATTCAAACAGTGGTCAAAGAAAATAGAATACTTGAATAATGGTATAACAGAACAAATATCTCTAGGACAAGGTACCAGACAGGGTTGCCCTTTCTCTCCAATATTGCTTGCTTAAATTACAGAACTGCTAGCAAACAGTATTAGGGAGGATAACTCAATAAGAGGTATAGGATTTGAGAATAATATATCATCTTATTTGCAGATGATATATTATTAACAATGAAGAATCCATTTAAGGTTATGGACCAGAATGAGATACATTTAACAGAATTTGGAGAAATAATGGGTTTACAAATAAACTGGGACAAATCAGAGATGATGCTATTTAGTTGTAATAAAGTAGAAAAGGATGAGATTAAGAGCAAGTTAGAAGTTAAGATATGTAAAATTATTATTTATGTGTAACTGTTACAAAAATTGCAGTGCTTAAGAGGGAATAATTTTAATAAGTTACAATATGAAAGTTTTAAAAAGAAATATTAGTACTGAAGAATGGAATAATATGTGGGATAAGAGAATGTCAATTAGAATTAAAGAGATTTTTTAATAAATTAGTTTGTAAATGTACTTAACTCCAGTTAAAATGAATTATATGAATGTATGTTGGAGCTGCAACTGGGAAGTGGGTACATATTTCCATATGTGGTTGGAGCACAAATATATACATGAGTTTTGGGAAGTGATTTTCAAAGAAATTAGTACTTTGAACTAGACCCTGGACTAGCATTGCTGTCATTATTTAGAGAGCAAATGGGACAAAATATCATCAAAAGAATTGATGATACATTAATTAACAGCAGTAAGATTAATGATAGCAAAGAATTGGAAGGTAGAAGGGGATTATCAAATACACTACCGGTATTAAGAAGTTTGGAATATAGCTATTAATGATGAGTTAACTTGCAATAATAATTGGAAAAAGGTATGATAAGTAAAAATAATTTTGAAAATATTTGGAGATCATTTATTGAATATGTCTTATTGAAGGGGTATGAACCATCACAAGAGTCAATGAACCTCTAGAAGGGGAGCAGGAGTGGAGACACCTGAATGAATAAATGATCATACATTAAGTAGTAGGATTTGTTGGTCCTGGTGGATGTAGCACTGTTATTATTGTATTCTTTAACTAAGTTTTTATTATTGTATTAATTGTATTGTTTACGTTTAATTAATAAAATAAAAATAGAACATACACACTATTTTAGTATATAGGGAAAACAAAACAGAAAATAGAATACTGTGTCCAAACTGTGATTCTCAAGAACAGCAAAGTCCACTGGATTCTCTTGCTCACCACTCTCTTACCGCTGAAGCTCCTGTAGCCGATCAATTTCTTTGGCCCTCTCCTGCTCCATCTCTGCGAGTCTTCGCTGGTGCTGGACCAGCATCTCTGATTTAGCCTGCTCTGCACTTTGACAGCGAGCTAGATACTGTTCGGCCAACTCTTGGTTCTCCCGCTGGAGACGCTCCTCGCGCTGGCGGTATGAGTCCTCCATCATTTTCACACGGTTCCTATCCTCCCAAATACCACACAAGTTTGCAAATCAGTTTGGGTTGAAAAAGGATGCAAAATTGTCTCAATTAAAGCTAATAATTATATAGACTTCTTATTAAACAGCAAGTTTTTAATTTTTGGTTCAAAATTCCTTGCTTTTACCAAATTTATAAAATTTCAACAAAAGAAAAAATAATGTGCCCACATAAATTGAATATATTAATTTCACTGTATACATATGAAAGATATATATCCTTCCAGTGGGGTAATATCAGTCTTTTAGCTGTTAGAAGGGGGCAGAGAATCCATTTATGCTGACCATGTGTTCATTGACTTCCGGGAAATAGGAAGATAATTTAAAAGAACATGTGCATCAATATATGTTAAGGAGTACTCCAGTTCAACACTAATCCATATAATGACCTCCTTCCCAAAAGGGACAACTATTGCGCACTGACAACTGAGGGTGCTTAGGAGCAATCATGTCAATTGCCCTGGTCATCTCCCTATTCCACAAATCAACCAGGACATCGACAGGAGTGCCAGCTTTATCAGCCGGAAAATCCCCCAGATAACATGGATCAAACACAGATGTTAGAAACATTCAGATTTTTTGCATTTTTATCCATAGTTACAGTTTCATCAGGATTTTCCTGATGATTGAACAGCAATTTTGGCAAAATTGGAATGGTGGCCAACCTCACTGTAAGGTTTAGAGACAGGAACAAGAAAGCGCTCCTGGTATGTATAGAAATACATCCCCGCACACATTCTTGTGGATGGATGGTGCAGTCAGGACCCCAAGGGTATGGAATGGGCTTCCCCGGGAGGTGATTGAGGCCCCATCGGTGTGGGTGTTCAAGGATAGGCTGGACATGCACATGGTGGGCATGTCGTGAGCAGAGCAGGCTGGTGCCGGAGGTCAGACTAGATGGCCCGGGAGGCCCCTTCTGACTCGCTCTGTTTTCTATGTTTCTATGTTTCTAACAGGACTTGTTTTGCATGGATCAGTGTGGTGGGTACCATGTGAAGAGTATGTGCATCAGGAACCTCCACTACCTATGAGCATTCTCGAGGAGTTCCAAGTCCTCTTGATGACGCTGTTGCAGACTTTCCAACAGCAGTTTCTGCTGATTCCTCTCCACCTCCAGCCGTCTCACCTGAATGAATTTTAAAACAAATTATGTCTTATGCTCTTTAATCTTCACTTTAAACCATGTGAAAAATCAACCAAAACCATTGAGAAATTGTGGGGTTGCAAAAATCTGTTCAGCTGGGGAGCAGTATATATATATATTGAAACATTGAAAATGTTCAAATATATTGAAAAATAAACATCACAACGTGATGCTAGGGAAACAGAAATGAAATTATAACCAGTATTTCTTGTTTGGCGTACGTGGAACAGTCATTAGGTCTAGATGTTAGCCTTATTCTGAAGTGAAGCTCATGCAAAGAGTAAACATGAGTGGCTCTCACTGATTAGCTCCACCATCATCTGCATCAGTTTGCCCACCCCTGATGTCCTCATGTACAGGAAGAAGGCCTTGGCACAGACACCTCTTACTGCAGAACAGAGGTAATGTCTCCAAGATAGTTTTTAAAGCCACGCCAAGGTCTTCTGGCCTTCAGATTATTAGGAATATAATTGCCTTGAAGGTGCCTTCCAAATTGTTTTGTAGATAAGAGCTGCTTTTGTGGTGAGAATGAAACTGTTTGCCTTACTGAGGCAGCTGTGTGCCCACCTACATCTCCTGGAAAGGGAGGTCAGAGACTGTGTGCACAGTGACAGATTCTGCAATAGTGGACGAGAGAAACATGGCAAGAGGCTTTGTCTGTTGTTCTTGCCTTAGGAACAAAAATTGACATGCTGCTCACCAGGCAGCTTTGGAGGCTCAGAGAATATCCTTGACCTATTCAAGGAGCCAATACAGCCACAAAGAAGGGGAGTGTAAGCTTCCTTTTGCTTGTTTATATTTATATGGCATATCCATACTTCATCATAGCATTCAATAAACTGCGTATCTTCTCTGACATAGATAGTTTTGTTTCTTTCCAAGTATCCTCAAATCCAAAGTGAGGTGCTTTGGCTGGACCAGCCCCTGGGATTAAAACATGTGTTTAAGAGGTTCTTGCATTGCTGGGACTCGTGTGCCCTTGACTGCATCCACATGTTTGGTCTCTGGGTACTATTTATGATAATTACAAACAGGACCTTCAACACAACATTCACTAGTTCTGGGTACCTGATCGCCACACCCTCTTCCAGGAAAACTCCACACTTTTCCCCTGCCTGGTTTTCCATTTCCTCCTTACAATTGTCACAATATTATCAGCTGATTGAGCACGCTCACTTTACAGTGGATTGTTCTGGGCTTCCTTCACAAAAACAAAACTGCAGATTGTTTTTCATTTCTAAAGTGTACTTCTGCAAACCTTGGGGTTTGCTCCAAGCCTGCCAATACATTTCATACTGGAATATAGAGGGTGCTATTTTTAGCTAAATAAGGATCCAAACTTACAGAATGAGACTGCTATTAGAATAGAGGATAACACTTTCATAAAACGAAAATCAGGTACAGCTATCTCTGCCTCAGCCCTTGGAATGATTAGCTCACCTGACCTTCCAGCTCAGCAAGGCGAGTCTGGCCACTCAGAAGCTCCGCCTGGCAGCTTGCCAGGGTCTCTCGCAGCTGTGCTTGCACACCTACCAGCCTTTTATCATATTCGCCAATATTTGGTGAGCCCAACATGTGGGGTTCTGAGTGCAGCAGCTGAGAAAGGGTACAGGAATTAGGCAGACAGCAACAAAAAGCACTATACTTAGAAAACGTTGGCGGAGAAGGACTGAAGCCATTTTCCCCAAGTATGGTATAGTAGCCTAAAGCACTTCTCTACTGAGTGCTGTGAATGTGGTGAAGAACAGGATGTACTTTCTGATCAACATTGCTTCATTACTTAAAGGAACAAACCTGGAGAAATTCCAACTCAGTTCTTAGCATCAATTGTGAATATACACTCTGACAGCCACAGGTCCTGGTACCAAGTAGCCATGCATTATCCTCATCTGCTATGATTTACACAACTTGCTTGTGCTTTACTTTTTAGTTTTCATGGCCTTTTCTTTTATTTTAATGTTATAAATGATCTGCAAGCCACAAATAAACCAAAAATAGAGCAACTTGCTGAAGACAACAGCAATTTTCTCTCTCTTGGCGAATGCTATGCTTAGAACAGGTTGAGGGCTGTGTATGTCATGAGTTTCACAAGAGACTGTGGAGTCCCCTTTCCTGCATGTTTCTTTATGATGAATTACTCAGTCTCCGTTCTCCAATGCATTTAACGAGAACATTCTGCAAGTGCTGGGCCTTGGTGTATACAAGTCTGGGAGCCTCCGCAGTTTAGCCCATAGCTGGAAAGGCAAGATTAGACAGTGTCCAGAGATGGTCTTGGAACACTTTCTGTGTGGTCACCCCAGAAGTGAAACCAACTGTGGTGATTGGACTTTGGGGCTTTCCAGACTAAACTTTAGCTTCTCTTTAAATTCCTACATAATGAGAATAGAAAATGAAAAAAGACAGAAATGCTTGCTAAAGAAATGTATTCATTTAACCTTCCCGTTTTCTTTCTCCAAATTAAAAAATAGAGAGTTCTATTTGGGTCGCACATACCTGGGAGTGCACAGGAGTCCTGAGGACTTCTGTATGTCCTTGAAAAAAAGTTGCAGGTGCTGCAAAGCCAATACATGTAGAAATCAGATGTGACCACTCGTTCTGGCACTTTCTCATAAGCAGAAACATGGATACCTCCCCACTTTGCTCATTTCAGATATTTCATAATCAAGTTCCATGGACTTTGCTTACATTGGGCCAAATGTGGCTTTAATCATATTCCTTCCACAACAATCTCGACAACAAAGAAAGGAACACGGGCAGCCAGATAAATCAGCACTGAGCAAATAGAAGCTTCAGACTTGCACAAAGATTCTGCCCCAGTTCAACGGGTATAGCCAGGAAGGGTCTTGGGGAATGGGCTGGAAAGCCAACCAAGAGGTGGAAGCTATGGCCTGTTGCTCTTCCCCTTGCCGCAGCACCCAACGGTCCTCTCGTGCACTGGAGGAAGGGCACATCAGTGCACTACATCTGGGGGCTCGTCAAGCATTACCATCCTCGGCTACTTTGGCTGCACTGAATATTAGATATGGTTATGTTATGAATATTGGTTGTGAATATTAGATAACTAACTTTGAAAAGAATGTTGTATGACAGGTTAATTTACACAATTCATTAACAATTCATCAGAGTAGGGGCCTCCATCCTTTGTCAGAATGTCCTGAGCATTGCCATAAATTAACTGCTGTATGGGAATGGATGGCTGATCACAAAAATGTTAAAATACTGGCAGTAGCCCCTTATGTGCATGTTTTGCATGTGTATGAATGAATGTGCACTACTCATTCTTGCCTCTCTCTCTTCGCTCTGGGTCTTCTCCCCATAATGCTGATTCCCCTCCAGCCATCTGACTCCTCTTCTTCATACCCCAGCTCTTCTTTACTTCTCACTTTCTTTCCTTCCTTCCATCTTATCCTCTGGCTCATTTTCCTTCTTAATTCTTGCTCTCTAGTTTGCACCCTCTCTCCTCAAGCTCCTTTTTACTTCTCCTTTTGGTCCTCCTTCCTTCATTCTATCTGCCTCTCTGGCTCTTTCCTCCCTCCCTCTGTCCCCCTCCCCCCCTCCCCACAAGTTCCTCTTTACCCCCCCTTCCTCTTTCCCATCTTTCTTTTCTCCCTCCCATCTGTCTCTCTAGCTCCTCTCTCTCTCCTCTTCTTCCCACTGATACTTCTTTATTTCTCTCTCCCCCGCTTGCTTCCTTCTCTCTGGCTCCTCTTTCCCTCTGTAGCTCATTCTTCTCCCAATTTCTCCTCCTCTTATTCTGGTCCTTTCTTCCTGCCAGCCTGCTTGCCTGCTCTCCTTTCCTCTTCCCCTTCTGCCTCACACTCCTTATTCATTACGCCCAGCTCCTCATTACCGCTTTCTGTGATTGGTTTCCTTGCTTCCTTCCTACTTTCTTCCACCCATCTGACTCCTCTTTCTTCCCCACCCCCAGATAAAAACCAATGGAACAATTTAATCATTAGCTCTACTAGGAAGAGGAAAAACCCCCTGTCAAGATATGACTGGAAGGCTGTGCCAGTGTCATTCTCCCACCAAGAAACTGGTTAATCCAACAGTCTTTGGTTGAGGACCAATTTCACCTCCATCCAGGCCTTCACCTCCATTCAGGCAAGTGATAGGATGAATCACTTTATGCACTTACAGAAGGAGGAAACAGCTCGGCCAGTTCTTCAGCCTAGCCTTGCAGGCAGTGTGGTAGATCCCTGAGTTAGAGGGTACCAAAGTAATCTGTGATGAAGGTCTTGGGGGAATATTCACTCCTGGGGCAGTTCAGCTGGAGTTTGGTTCTTACCTGTGGTGTTTGTGTCTCCAAAGGGAGTCCCTTTCCTGGGATCGACAGGAAAAGCTGGAGTGGCCTTTTCCTGAGACTTTAACCAAGGCATGGAAGACCTGTAGGAAACAGAGAAATAGACAGAGTCAGAATTAAATGGGCATCCATTTAATTAATAGATTTTTTTATTCTGGAAAGAGTGCAAACCACAATCCAGATGAAGGACACTTCAGGGCATGTAACAAAAATCATTTAGGCCAGAATTCTATGGAACCACCTGGGGGCCACAGGACAGAGGCAATCTCCCCTTCTACCTGTGTGCAGAGAGGCAGGCACAGGCATCTCTGCTGCCTTTGCTGCTCTGCCAACAGTGCTTTGAATGTGGTAAGGTGAAAAGAAGAAATGCCAGGGAAGGAGTTGGATCTAAGCTCACTTGCTTCTTTGTTGTGCTGCCCAAAACAGTGGAAAAAGTATACCAGTTCTGGGTAGTTTGCTTCTTGCTTTCCCTGACAGTCCCTCCAGCATGGCTTCCCCCTCCCCTGGTAGGATTGCTCTGCCCATCTAGATGGGGGACCCTTTATCCTGTCTTGTTCATCTAATGCAAGTGGTTAAAAAAGATGAGCCAATTTCCCCCAGCTGGAGCCGGGGGCGTCTGACTAGATGGCCCCAGAGACCCCTTCTGACTCGCTCTGTTTCTATGTTCTATGTCCCCCTCACCTTGCTTTAGAGCACTAAGTGTACAAGAATATGCTTCCAACTCTGTGCTAATGCCTGTATTTTATTCTGCATTAAGTAATCTATTTCACACAGGGGCAATCTTAACAAGGCTTACACAGAGGTATATCCCAATGTTTTTCTAGACTCTACTTTCTTGTGTCTAAGCCTTACTTATCATTTGGCTTAGAATCCCCCAGTTCTCCTGCCCCTTCAGATGTTCTTTGGAAGCATCCCTTCTGCTCCCACACAGCTGCTCATGCATTCCTACAGAACAGGAGAGGGCAGATGATGACGTGTGGCCTGTGTGGAGACCCACCAGTGAATCTGGCAGCAGCGAGAATTGCATTCCCCTGCCCCCCAGCAGAAAAACAGAGAACTGGCGCTCTTGGCTCTACAGACCACAGAAAGGGTCACATTTAGCTTAGGAACAAACAAGCACCACAGAGTGGTGCTCCGCTCAGTGCAAACCACAAGGAGACATGTCTGCATTACTCCCTGGACTTCCCAAAGATGCCCACCCCTACTATACAACAAGAAAAAAGAGCAACACATCAATAACCAGAAAGATTTAGGAGCCTTGCTGGATCAGGCCAGATGTCTCACTAGTCCAGCATCCCATTTTCCCTCAAATGTCCATAAGATGCCCACAAGCAAGTTCTTACTCAGGTTCCTCCAGCCTGGCAGGTCTATCTATTGTGACGACCGACTGCTGATGTCTTTCTGCAGAGGTAGCAGGTTGGCTGAATTAAAAAAAACACACACACACACACAGTTAAGCAAAACCGTTGTATTGCAATAGTTAATTAAAAGATCGTGCCCCCAGCTCACAACATCAGCCTATGAATGTACTGCAGACAATGTGTACTGCTATGAGGTATGCAGCATGGATGGCTGCTTTTCAAGCATGCTGTGACTCAGGTGCCTACAGAGATTTTTCATGTTTATACACATCCCGTACATGGAACACATTTTTTATTCTCTCTCTCTCTCTCTCTCTCCCCCTCCCTCCCTCCCTCCCTCCCTCCCTCCCCCCCCCCCCCCCCGCCTTTTTCCTACAAAGCCAGAGCATGGTCTGAAGGCACACAGGACATCCACCATGTTGCAGCTAAGCAGGTCAGGGGCTGGCTGGCCTGAGCTTGAAGGGGAGACCACCTGGGAACCACATGTAGCCACCTTGCGTTCCACAATGGAAGAAAGGTGGGATATAAATACAATATCTAAATAAATGAAAACACATAAGGGGACTGGCATACCCTGGCTGTCAGAAGTGAGGGTCTGAAAGATTTGCAAAATCTGAAAAATGTTACCAGCAAAAATGGAGAACCCTCTGGTCTTACGTGGTGAGAGCAACTGGAGCCACCTCCTCGCCCTGCATCCAAGGGTCTGAGGGCCCAGGTCTCTTCTCCTTCCCTTTCTCTTGCACTCGAGTTTTCTTCTGCGATAAGACATTACTCAGCCAGCTGTCACCATCCTCCTCACTAGGCTCAGGCTTCAGTGCTGCTTCCTCAGTAGCTGGCTTGGATCTAGAAGGGAGCTGGCTGGTAGGTGCAGGATGCTCAGCATCAGAAGGGCCAAGTGGCACTTCTAGTGTAGCCCCTCTTACACTGGTCTTACTGGATTCCTTTAGTGGAGAAGGTGGGAGCGAGTCAAAATCTTCATCCTTCAGACCCAGCCAATCAGCTCCAGCCTTGCTGCGTATGGGGCTGCCAGATGCTGGGGTGGACACCTTGGACCTCTGATCTGCTTTCAGTTCACTGAGGTTTTCTGAAGAAAACCTGCAACAGGAAACAAAGAATGAGGAGTGCTAAGATTTCACATGTTGCCTGTGGGAGGAACAAAACGCATTTGTGGCTAGCACAGGTGTCTTTACCTGACAGACTGCCGTCTTGACTGCCGTCCTTCTGGAGTTGAAGCCATGGTGGGTTGGTAGACCCCAAAAGTGAACTCTTCTCCAAGAGGGTCTTCCTTATCTGTATATGAGTAACAGCCACGACAGCCAAGCTGAGGAAATGAGCACTCGAGCGCACACGTGCTTTCATTACAGGCTTCCGAGACTCCAATGAGAAGTCAGAGAAGACAAGCAGCTCTGAGACGTGGGTGGGATTATTGGATCCAACGCTAAGCAAATACCAGGGGATACTAGTCTGCCTTTCTTAAAGAACTGAGGAGATGAAATGAAAGCATAGTGGAACAACATAGCTGTCACAGACTGGGGAGGCTGGTTTAGAAAAAAACTCTTTTCCTAACCCTAACCCTATGTAATGGTTTAAGGGAAGGAAACCAGGATCCCTTGGCAGGCTGGATTAGGGAGAAAAATTTCAATATGCTTGTTGTAGCAACAGAGTTACATGTCTTATATATAGGACACTTAGTGCATAAGGAAAAAACATAACCAAGCATATCAGAATATGCCATGTGTGTCCTTATAAGCATCAAATACTCCCTCAGTGCTGCTGTGCCATCTCGGAAGGATGAAAGGTAGGCCAAAGAGACTCCCGGAATAGGATCATGACGGGATCAGTGCTCCCTATTGCACTTGCCTGCCTGCTTCTGATATTTCTTATCCAGCTTAAACTCCTTGGGTTCCCCTGTGTTCGGTCGCTCCAGGAGTTTTTTTGCTGTTCCTCTTCCCAGCAATTCATCGAGCATAGATCGGGCAGGACGAGGCTCCTCCCTGCTAAAAAAAAAAATACCAATTCGGCACTGAGGCTAGACAACTTTAGAAGGCCCAGAGGTGAATTTCCAGAACCCACCAGAGCCTGCACCCACCCCCGGAACAGCTGTTGCCAAGGATGATCTACAGCGAATCAGCACCTTCAACCGATGCACTTCATACATTAGAGAATCTGGGAACTGCAGATTGTGGCTTCTTCAGCATCCTGATTTCATCTCTAGCCTCCATGGCTGATGAGAAACTAAATACAGGTTGTTTCTGCTTGGAATCTTGAACATTAGCTTACTATTTCCAGAAATAAGCAGAAAAACGTTTTAGCAGCTCTATAGGTGAAATGCAATCTGCAGGCGGTGCTAGGCCTGCAAATAGGCTTTTGCATGGCCCTTGAAGCAACTATACTGGTTCTTGGGTGACCCATCATGCTCAGAATAGAGGGGAAATTGACACAAATGTATAATGCCTTGGCTTTCTAAACCAACCAGCTTCAGAAAAGGTGGACATACATCTATCTCTAGCTGTACATGTGCAGGATAGAAGGAAAATGGAAACTGGCCATAACAATTTTGCCCTTGCTGAAACTGACTGGATTTAGGGCACCATGCATTTTGGCCCAAGAATGTCCTGCTTTCTTCCCCCAAGATATTACTTGCCTCCAACTCCCATCATCTCAAGCCAATGTGGCTCATGCTCAAGGATGCTGGGTGTTGTGATCTCACAGTAACTTAGAGGACCTCACCCTTGCTTAGCTCTAAGGCTAGTAGTGCCATCATTGCTGAGGATGATGGAATCTGGAACAGGTTGTTCAGGGAGATCCAGTTTCTCCAAGTTAGAATGTTTCCTGCCCTGCTCTATATATTGAAGTGGGAAGTTTGTAATATTCCAGTTGTTTTGGCCAATGATCCCATAATCCCTCACCATTGGCTATGCTGGCAAGGACTGATGGAAAAATATCTGCAGGGCCACCAGTTTTCCAGCCTAATATATAGGAATAAGGCAGGAATGCCCAACACTCTAAGTTGCCCAACCCTGCTATAAAGTACTGCGACCAAACCAGCGGGTTCAGTGCAAACTGTAACATGCCTCTATTGATCTTAGTTTATCCCAAATGCAATAAGTCTCTTCTGCTTTGCATATCCAAAACTACAATTTATTCCCTCTCCAGCTGAAAGAGGCACATAACTCCCTGCATTTCAGTGAGATGAAATCACTTACCCTTCACCCTTTTTGTCCGATTTTACTTCTGCCTTCAAGTTCTCACCAAACCCCAGAGCATCCATGAGATCATCCCCATCAACCTCAAATGTTAACTCCCCCCTTTTTTGATCAGGGGCAATGGTGTGGTGAGGAGCTGCAGACAGAAAAGTTCCCAATAAATCCAGTTGCAAGGCTTTGTGATAGCAATATTCTAATTTCACAGCATTAGTCTTATGAGTCAAGACTCAAGTCTTATGAGTCTGTTACGCCCTTCAGAAAATGCTTCAAGTACACTAACTAATAAGTCTTCTCTGTTAAAGCATTTTATATCAACTAGCTAGTCATTTCCAAGCTGAGTGTTGTGGTGTGGCTTGTTCTTTTTTACATCCACGCTGGCAATTTTCTCTGGAATGATTGTCTTTTATGCATGACTTTATTGCCATCATTTGTTAATACTATCATTGCCAAACAGTTGCATCTGAGGGTTTTCTGTCTTGTTTGCCTGTATTTTTTCAAACTCCACCTCCAGTGGTGTTTCATCTAACTAAGTAAAAAATACAATTGCAGCACCAGGCTTTCTAGCATGGATGGGAAAAACATAGCTGAAAATTTATGCCTTTAATTTAAAACTCCTTCTTTGAAGGTCAGGCTTGTTTTATTATTTCCTGTTCAGCACAGGTGAGGGATTGGTAATGATCAGTTGCTTCATTAAGCAGAAGGAAGGATCTGTTCCTTCTAGATACTTTTATTTCCTGGTTTCCTTTTATTCTTTTTAAATTCTTTGTTCCTATTGCATGATAGCACTAAATATTGCTAGGGACCTTTGCTAAACAGGATCATAGTCATGAAAAAGGACAGTGAGTATGGTATGTAGCACTACATTAATAATATTAACTCTATAATTAATAATACAATGAAAATGATATTCTTTTATTTCTACTTCCACTAATTGCTGAAGAACATTGCCTCAATGCTGCCAAAAGGTGCGAGTGTGAAAGGATCCCTTGTTCCAGCAGACTGCTGTTCCATAGCAGAATATGCACAGAGTGAACTTTACAGTTGTGATAAGCATCAAATTGTACGGCTGACTGATTTTGGATAAGATTTGAAGCTAATGGCTGAATGTCCACGTGACAAGCCTCTCCCACTACAACCTACTAGATACAGGGTGGGACATTAGATCTTTTATTTATTTTGGCATGATTCTTGCTCTGCTCTCATGACGGTTGACAGCAAGCATACAAAAAATTAAAAACTACGTAAGAACAATCTTAAAACACAACAGCCAAGGATCCACATGAAATCTGCACAATTAAGCTATTTCAATCCCTAGGCTAGTTTGGAGGATTTTATCTATTTATTTACTATCCCACTTTCTTCTTATAACAAACTCAAAGTGGCTTACACCATTCTCTTCCTCCTGCTCTCAGTCTTATCCCACAGCAGCAACCCTGTGAGGTAGGCTGGGCTGAGAGTCTGTGACTAGCCCAAAATCACCCAGTTGGCTCCACAGCTGAGCAGGGACTACAACCCAGATCGCCTGAGTCCCAGTCCCACACTCTTAACCACTACACCACACTGGCTCTCTCGATTGATATCACAATTCAAACAGTGACGAACATTCAGGGCACAAGCCTAAGCACGTTTTAACAGAAAATGGGTCTACAGCACCCTCCCCACCTTCTGTCTAAACTTGCCTAGGATTATGCCTTTAGCACTTGAACAGAACAAAGTTGGATAGAACCCACAGTTTCTAATCTTGTCTTATTTAGAATGCTCTTGACTGTGCTCACACTTTCTAAAACTAGCCTGATAAATACTCTACTACAGAAGAGCCCTATTAATTTGACTCCCAATGCTGTCTCACATCCTCACCAGATGTGGAGAGATTAATCTTTCCATGGCACACTGCTTTTTGGCTGAGCAGAGAGCTTGTATTTAGATCTTGTGTCAAGTGATACCATTACCCCTTTTCCCTACTGAAAGCTAACAAGTTGGAAAAACTTCTGTGGAAGTTGGAATCAAAACTTGTGCTAGGGCTTTGAGAACACAGAAGATTTCCTAATCTGCAGGTGGGGCAAGAAAGAGCTGCATTAGCAACAAAAACTGGAGGTGGGGAGAAGGACTGAAATAGACTTTTTTTTTTCTTCTTCAGACATAACATCTGATCTCAGTTCCAATAAACTGACTGATGGCACCTCTAGGACAGACACAGGGAAGTACTTCTTCATGCAGCGTACAGTTGAAAGCTAGAATTCAGAAGCAAAGCTATAGTGATGGCTTCCAATTTAGACAACTTTAAAAGCAGATTAGACAAATTTATGGAGCATAATGTGATCAATGGCTGCTAATTGGCATGGTGCTCAACTGCCAATTCCAGGATCTTTGATACATTTTAATTATTTCACAGATTCCAAACAAGGCTGAAAGGATGCAATTTTGATCTCTTTACTGACCTTTCTCTTTAGAGTTTCCAGTTTCTGGAGTATTTTTGGTGGCAGAGGAATGTACTTTCTTCTCTGTGCTGTCTTGTTCATCAGACAAAAGGCCATCCAAAGGGTCATTCATATCTCAAAAGAAAAGAGACATGTAGAAAATGAAGGATAATTATGAGACTAGACAAGCATTTCAAAACAAAGAGTATATCAGGAGCTTATGTTAAGAAACAGGATTTAAAAAAAACTTGTTATTATAGTCAGGATATCAACCTAGTAGTTCCCTCATTCAAACCCCACTACCTTCATGATGTCTGAAGACTGCCCTATAATCTTAGGATACTATTACATAACCCAAGAAACTCCACTGACTCAAGGCTATGCATGTTTCCAAGGCACCACTTTTAGCATAATGCAAAGGTAATTGTCTTGCTTCTTTGTCAGTCATTTTGATTTTTAAACATTTTATATATTACATGTTTATCCTATTTTTAAGGAAATGTCCACCCTGCCTCCATTTATCTTCCCAACAAAACAATGAGGTTTCCGAGGTCACCATAGTTAGAACAGTCCGAGGTTAGCTATTGCCGTGTGTGGGCACTGGGATAAGGTGCCAGAATGCGCAAGCTGTATGGTTTTGGAGGCTCTGCAAACTCTGACTGTGAAGATGAAATGGTTGAGGAATCTCAACAAGCCCCAGTATCAGACCAAGGTCAAGGAATGTCTGGAGGAGTTGTCAGTCCAGGATGAGAGAGGTGATGGCCTGACAGCTCATGGGAACAGGGAGATAGCACAAGGGGTGGAGTTGCCAGGCAGGGCTGATGAGAGCCCCAGTCTACCAATACCAGAACAGAAGGTGGAGTCGGGAACTGGGCAGTCTGACATAGTGGTCTCTCCCCTTGAGGAGGTGATGCCAGTTGCTAGGAGACAGCAGAGGCAGAAATTCAGTTAGCTGAAAAGCAGGAGGATGGCAAAAGGACTAGGTTTCATAGTACTCCATCTGTGGAGACGAAAGGGGTATAAAGAGGAGGAACACTAAGGGGTGTCAGAGAAGGCTCAACACTTCACTCTGGATGAAGTCAGAGAAATGGAACAATCTTGTGGAAAAGCAACTTGGGAATATGCAGGAGCTGAGCCACACCTCATGACAGCTGTTAAGCTTTGTGGATAAGCAGGATTTTGAATCCAGATCCTTGGTCTAAGGATGATAGAGGAAATGGATGGATGGGGTGCATGCAAGAGAGAGAGAGAGAATGAGGATCTGGATCACCCCACCTGCAAACTAATTCTTTCTCTTAAAATAATCACCGCCCCACATTCTTTCAGTATTTATTAAGATTCTTGAGAATATGTGAGTGTGTGGCTGTGAGTGTTTGGGTCTTAACAGTAGGGTGACTCTGCCCATCACCAGCATGTGGCTCCAAAGAGAGTTCCCCTTAGGCAACGTGGCCGTTAAGGCTGCCCCACTGCTTATAAGGACTCTGTCTCCCTTACTAGGTTCCCTAACTAGCCAAGCCCCAATCTTGCATGTTTGCACTTGGTTTTGGCTGCTTGAAATAGTCTGACAATTATATGCCAACCACCCCACTGTTCAGCAGTTTTTCTCCATGAGCTGAGGCAGATGCTCTCAGAAGTGGTGCTGAGGGCCCCATTCCTTCTTAGGAGACTTCAGCTTTTATGTCAAGGCTGTTTGGTCCGAAGCAGCTCAGGACTGTATGGCCACCATGGGACTGTCCCAAGATGTCACCAGTTCCAGGCAAATACCTTTTTATTTCCCCACACCTTTTAAACATCAGTTACCTTTTTTTAGCCTGGTCCTGTTATTTTATCCTTCTGTTATGCTCTTTATTGGGTTTTTCCTGTATTTTATTTGTATTTTTTTAAAATGCTACTCTTAGTCATTCTGGAAACATTGATGAAGGGCGGGATACAAACAGGAAGGGCCTATGAAGGCCATAGGGGCCAACCCCCTGCTGTTGCTGGATACCAATTTATATCATTCCACTCCAATGACTGTCCGGTTTCGCCTTGAATGTCTGTAGTGTGGGAGAGCCCACACACTCTCTAGGCAGCTGGTTCCACTGTTGTATTGCTTGCAGTGAGGAAGCTTTTCCTGGTGTCCAGCCTGAATCTGGGTTGTCGCAACCTGACTTGATTATTCCATGTCCTACACTCTGGTATCAACAAGAAGAGCTATTAACCTTCTTCTTTGTGACAGCCTTTAAAGTACTTCTAGAAGGATACCATGTCCCCCCTCAAGGCTGAACATGCCCAGTTCTCTCAGTCGCTCCTCACAGGGCAGAGTTTCCAAACCCTGGATCATTGTTTCTGCCCTCCTCTGGACCCTTTCTAATTTTTCTGCATTTTTCTTAAATCTTGATGCCCAGAACTGGACACAGTATCCCAGATGAGGTCTGACTAGTGAGGAGTATAGGGGAACTACTACTTCTCATGATTTAGAAGTAATATTTCTGTTAATGCATCCCAAAATAGCATTTGCCCTTCTTGCAGCTTCATCGCATTGTTGACTCATATTTTGCTTGTTGTGCATAATAACTTCAAGGCCTTTTCTTTTTCAGTTCTGCCAAGTCACATATTCCTCATCTTGTTTCGATGCATTTGGTTTCTTTTTCCCAGGTGGAAGACTGGACACTTGTCCCTATTGAATCTCATTCTGTTGCTTTCAGACAAGGGTTCAAATTTATCAAGATGGGCCTGGATCTTCCTTTTGGATCTTGTAGGGTGTTTGCTGTTCCACACAGTTTTGTATCATCTGCAACTTTGATTATTGTTCCTTGTGCTTACTCATCTAAATCATTAATAAAGATGTTGAAGAGCACTGGGCCCAGAACTGAACTGTGCTGTAGCCCACTAGTTACCTTCCTTCAGTTTGAGAAGGTACCATTGATGAGCACTCTTTGTGTTTGATTTAGCAGACACTTTTGGATCCACCTAATAGTGTTTCTATCTAGTCCACTTTTTGCTGCTTTGCTTATCAGAATGTCGTGGGGCACCATGTCAAAAGCTTTGCTAAAGTCAAGGTAGATTATATTCACAGTGTTCCCTCTCATCTTTTCTCCTCTTTTTGAAGATAGGACTGGGCAAGCCCTCCAGAGAAATCTTTATCCTCTGCCTGGCAAATCAGTGTCATTATGTCAGTAATTCTCCATTTGCTGATGCATATTGTTCTGTACCCATCCCTTATGGTTTCTACATCAGATGGATACAAACAGCTAAAATGACCTCTATACCAGTTCAGAGTTGAGTCTTAGATAGTCAACCAACATCCAGTATGGTCACATCCTAACCCTTACCTGCAGATTTCTGTTCAGATCTAGATTTAAGAAAAAAATTATTACACACACCTGCACTCCAGATCTTTGTGTTGAAATCTAGACAATTTTAGTCTTTCTCATATACATGCCACTATGTCCCATGCCAGAGATCATATTTACCTTCAAAGGAGAACTTCTGTTTCAACTGCCTGGTGGTGGGGGTAGAGCTGAAAGCCTTATTTATTCTACTTACAGATTCTCCTGTATGGATAGATTGATTTCTTTAAAAGGTATATTCACTAATATCCAGTTCTTATGTAACAAGGAAACATCTTTCCCTAGTCACTGTAATGCTGAATGCTTCCAGTTAAAAGAAATAATTGGCTCACGTAAAGGGATCCCCAGTAGCAAGAAAGTGGAATGCAACTTTCTAAAGAATTCATTGTTCAGGGATGATTCTTTTGGGATAAAATCTCTTCCAGTGGCTGCCCAAGGACACAATACAGGCTCTTTCTTAGAGCCAGAGAATGTACTGCACCCCATGTTAGACTTGAGCAGGTTACTTTACAAGAGACCATTCCCTGCTGGACTGGGGAAGGAGGCGGCCGGATTTATACTCTGGTCATCCAGCTGCTGCAGGACCTGGGTGACCAATAGTTCCAATCTAGAGGGATCCTTCTTCCTTCCTCTCAGTGTCCTGACTCAGTAAGTATCCAGGGCCTGGGAGGAGGCTTGCCCCTGCCATCAGATGATAGCACCTGCTGGAGCAAATGCACACTCTAACCATGACCAAGCTGCGTGTCTGTGCTGCATGCTTGTTAAACAAACTTCCCAAGATAAACCATAAGCATAACTCCCCTCAGATACTCTGAATTTGACAACAAAGAAACAACAACGATAAACCTTCCTGCATTTTCTCCACTCAGCTGAAAGCAGTGTGCCTTGAGGTTTTCCCATCACACCAATTCACACTCAGCACACCAATTCACTCTGGTCACTGTGAATTACTCCCAACCAATAGAAGTAAAGTGCCTATCAGAGGCACACAGAGATAACACAGCTGACTCCACTGGAACTGAATTTCCATTATAATTGTTTATTATAGAAAAAAGAACTATTGCACATACGTGGTTGAGTCCTGAGACACTGAGTTCCCAAAATCTCTTCAAAAAAGCTGCTCAGAACAAAAAACACCTTACCTTTCTCAGCAGCAACCGTTGTTTTCTTGGCAGATCTTTCTGGCTCAGTCTTCCCCATGTTTTTCACAGGTCTCTGAACAGGCCCAGAGCTTGCTTTCTTTATGCCCAGAAGATCTGCTTCCATGTCATCCATATCCTTGGCATGGAAAAATACATTGAGAAGAGGAACTTTTTCACCTTTAGCAGGATACAGTAAGCTCAATTTATTTTCCCCATTTACCTTCAAGGTCTCTAGAAGAGCATCTGGGTCTACATCTGAGATATCAGGATCCTTTTGAGTAAATAAATTGGAAAAAATCAGACATTTTTACTTAAAAGAAGCATTTGCACTCCATTCTAATCCACCCTGGCAATATACCACAGTGCAGTTGGTTGTTGTACAAATAGCCCATGGTGCACAGCAGGGGACACTGAGCCAGTGGCAGATGCTTCACCAAGGGTTTTTGCTGCTCTTCCCAAACAGCTCATTACTCACTTCCTGGTACCCCTGACTGGGATGGTTGCCTGCATGTGGGCAATACGATGTACCAACCTCTAAAACAAGCTCTGGGTTGTGAGGGTTGCTTGCTGCCCACAGACATGCTACTTTGCAGGAAATGGTCTAGGTTCATGTGATGCAACAGCCTACGTAACTTGTCACCCATGATGGGTTGTTGTACCATGCAAACCCAGGCACTGCATCTGTACACTGACTCTCTATAAATAAGAACTTTCTATAAATAATAACAATAAATAAGAAAAATGAAAGCAGCTACTCCCACTGCTGCACATCATTAATCCAAAAAATATAAATATGGGGCCTCAGTGCAAACATGTCAAAATACTCTTTATTGGGACTTTTTGATATTACAACTTGAAGCAAAGGACAATGCTGTCTTTTTCTGAGCTATACATATGTATCCCTTTCCATGCTAAATCTTCATACACAGGAGGAGACTGCCGGAAAACTCTGTTTTCTGCTTTTCAGTTGTACACTGGATGTATGTGGATTCTTTATTCTCACCTCTATGTCTGCCCCTTCCTCAGGAGCCATTTTGTTGAAGAAGTTATCATCCAGAAGGCCCCTGAAAAACCAACCAACCAACAAGAAGCTTACAATGTGTAAAACATTAAAAAACACACATCTAAAACATTTCACTGGCCTTATCAAAACTCTATCAAAATTGTTCAGGTGTTTTGGCTAAGAAGGAATCTCCAAATTCACCTCAGCAGCCACTGAATTTTGGGAAAAACAGCTGAAACTGGAAGGCCAAATTGAGACAGAGAAGGTAGCAGAGTGGGAACTGGATAATTAGAAGTTGTTCAAGAACAAAAATGTTGAGCATGTGGCCATACAAGTACTATTGGATTGCAACTTCCATCAGCCCTAGCCACCACAGCTGACAGAAAAGAATGATAGGAGTTGAGATCCAACAATACCTGGAAAGCCACACATTCCCTATCACTGCTCCAGAAGCTCCCACTGTACTACCATCATTTCATAGATGGAAATAACGAGAGAAACAATGAGTAATGCCACTAATTACCTTTTGTTACTCTGTGAGGTGATTCCTCCAGCTCTCCCTCTACTGCTACCAAATGAAGCAGGTTTTGTAGATTTAAGGGGAACATCATCTAGGAAAAAGAGGCAGACACTTGGCAGATTGAACTGCAGGCTATATACTTTCTTCTAATAATGCCACTTCAACTTTTAAGATCTCCTCATGTTACTAGTCTCAAAGGAATTGAACATACAACAAGGAAATATAAGAAGTTTGAACTCTTAACAGGCCATAAAGAAGGCAACATTAGAATCTTTTTATTTAGGAAAATGTACACCCCATGTTTCCACTCAAAGAAATTACAAAATTAGTGTTAAACAGTACAATATAAAGACATATAACAAACCACCAAAAAGCACAGTGAAACAGTGAGAACAGAAGTGTACACTGTTGGAAGTAAAGGTGAGTGATGTGATTGAACCTGGCACCTAGAAGAATTATTGGGATTGCCCTAGGCAATTTTACGAGGGGAAGGAATTCCACAGCAGGGGCCCCATGACAAAAGTGGCCCTTTCTCCAGTAGTTCCTCATCAATCTCTGAAGTAGGTGGAGTAGGAGTTCAAGATATTACTCAATGGGTGCTCCCTGACAGGATTTAGCAGCTCTTTCTCAGTTTCTGTTATTATTTACCTTCATCACCAAGGAGATCACTGAGGACATCATCAATGGAACCTAGAACAAAAACAGTGATTTACAGCCTCTGAAGACTGCCCAGCATAAACTTGGCATAGGGCTCACCATAACAATAGAGCTCTGGGACTGCCACAAGATGACAAGAACTCCAGAGATGAGAAATATATTGACCAATTAATTTAATATACCTCATCAGTACTTTGCAATGTAACTTTACTTCCTGTTAACCAAGGCTGCCCAGCTTAACAAAGGTCTGAAATCGGCTGATAAACCCTGGTTAAGATGGAACCTGGCCAGCACCAATGACAGGTTGGTGTAGGGTTAGGGTATGATGAAGGCCAAAAAGGGAAGGGAAAAGTGGAGAAGGGAAGATGGGAATATGGCCTTCTAGTTGGTAAACCATGAGTTATAGTGAGCCATGTTAGGCTACCTGCGTTCTGCTTCTGCCTCCTTAGGCTCTTTAAAGCCAGGGCCTTCACAATGCAATATATACTGCAGAAGGACACAGATAAGACGAACAGCATGCATTGCTACAGCCTTGGCCAACTTGGCACCCTCTACATTTGTTGGTCCACAATTCCCATCACCCCCCCCCAACAAGTATATCCATTAACCACAATGGTTAGAATGATAGAATATATATGCGATCCCAAATGGTTGGAGGTTGCCAAGTTCAGGAAGACAGCATTTCTACGATACAGTACTTTGGCATTGAAGATCAATGGTTTTTAACGATATACATTAAAACAGCTCAAAGGCACAGCAACTCAGAACTATAAACAAACTGAAACCCTATAGCACCCTGGGGCAAATACATTTTATTAGATATATCTTATTGGCAGGCATATAAGCAGATCCTCCAAAGCTGATCTTAAGAGATACATTCCTGAGGCTGGCTCCCAACTGGCATCTACTCGTAAAAAAAGTAGGAACAGAAGTACACATACTTTTTAGTCCTTTCTTAGGTTTCACTGCCTATAGGAAAAAAGGACAGACACTTTGTTACAAAAATGAAAGCAAAGGCAAAAACTTGCTGAGTCTGGAATAACTCTCTGGATATATTTATTCGATTTATATCCTACCTTTTTCTTTTCTTTTTTTATAGAATTCAAAGTGGCTTACATCAGTCTCCTCTTCCTGCTCTCAATCTTATCCCACAGCAGCAACTCTGTGAGGTAGGCTGGGCTGAGAGTCTGAGCCTGGCTCAAAATCACCCAGTTGGCTCCTTGGCTGAGCAGGGACTGCAACCCAGATTGTCTGAGCTCCAGTTCCATGCTCTTAACCACTGTACCATACTAGTTCTCTCTCTATATATGTTATATGTTATACATATATAGACATGTATAAGAAACTTTAGGAAAGAGTGGCTGGTAGCCATAGGTTCTCTATGGTATATAAAACTTGAGTTGATTACTTAATAATTTAAAATTAATTCTTAATAAATAAAAGTTAGTGTAAAACCAAGATAGCTGTATAAAGCCTAGAATATATATATATAATTTCTGGTTGATTTAGCCAAATGTAAATATTATTTTATTCCTCCAGATATAATGGAGAGTAAAAATGGTGAGTCACTAAGCCATACGATCTGAAAAAAAAAAGACATTCAGTTCTGTTCATATTCCAGTTCCATTAATTAATGTGTGGGATCTCATCAGATAAGAGACAACCTGGAGTCAAATGCAGAGAAAAAGATTGAAGAGGAGCCCAACATTTGAATTTAATTAAATTCAGAAAGCTAATTTCTCCCTAACAGCAAACCAGATATCTCTGAAAATGGTTACCTAGTTTTAATTTGTGAGTTTATGCTATTCAATGTTGCCAATCAGTTTGGATAGAACATTTGGAAATTTGATAGAAGTTTTGTGAATGCTCTCACAAAACGCTGCCCAGACTGAGGAGCTCCCCCATTCATATTACAGCTGCCACAACAGGGCTGGCTGATAACAAAATGCTACTTTACCACAAGCCATATTAGAGGAACTTAGAAAATGCCAAGAATCTAAGAATAAGACAAAGGATGGGGTCTGTACTCAAAACATAGGGGCAATTTTTTGAAACCAAATAAAGATGGTACTGGAAGGCTGCCTTTCATTTTTCAAAATTTATAAGAAATTAAATAAAAATCAGGACACCTGGCAGATACCAAGAAAGTAGTCTGCAGGCACATTTGTAACCATGGCCACCATACTGCACTGAATATTCAGAAGGATACCATGGCTGATGATTTGCCTGAACCACTTGGCAGCTTTTGATACCTTTACCTATCTTTCTCCTGGCATAGGTCATCCCACAGGGTGACCAAAGCAGCTTCAGTCCCAAAACCAGGCCTGAAACTGGACTGAAATGGATCCAGAAGGTTCATTTCCTCCAAGAACATTTGGAGATGTCCAGCCACCAACTGCTTGAGCACCTTGCCCAAAAAATGGTCAGAAGTCTCTAGCTGTTATCATCTGAATCCAGTCTTGTCTTCTCCAGAGGGGTCTGATCACCACCTTCTTTAATGAAGGCAGGACCAGTCCCTCCTTCAAAGATACATTCACAATTGCCTGGACCCAAAAGCATATTCCCACCTTGGCTTTGATGAACAGCCATGAAGGACAAGGGTTGGGGATAGAAGTGGTAGGCTAAACTCGCCCAAGCAGCTTGTCCATATCATCAGGCCTCAATAACCGAAACTTACTAGGATAGGATCAGATGGTGCTCTGGACACCTCTGTTAAAGGGACTACATTAAATGTGAAGACTTATTCACACTGAATGTGAGTAACTTTGTCCTCAAAGTGCTGTGCAAATCCATCACAGTGGGCCACCCAGGTTCTACCTAATATTCCTTAGGGCCCACATGTAAAAAGCCATGAACCACTCAGAATAGCTCCACTGGACAGCACTGAGAAGACACGATGCTGGTGTAGATGTGATAATGAGCTCTAACCTGTGTTCAGCTCAGGTTTTCCTCCACCTGCACACTAGCTGCTTACCCACTTACTTCAGTGCCCACTATCCTGCTATACACCATGGAGCCATGCAGGCTCTGCAGATGGGCACAGCCTGCTGCGGTGTGATTGTGCCAACTGCCTGGGTCACTTACATATTCCATAGAGGACCTGGGTTTCGACAGGAGTGCCAATCATAATGACTGGGACATCACCCAGAGCCCTTTGGAAACCCATCCGATTCCCTTTAGTGATCCATAAAGAGACACCCACCACACTTTTATGCCATGACTACTTTGCTTGCTCCAGAGCCTTTGGTGAGGGACTTTGTCAAAAGCCTTTTGGAAGTCCAAGTAAACAATGTCAACTGGATTGCCCCGTCTACATGCTTATTGACACTTTCAAAGAACTCCCGTGGATTAGTAAGACAAGATTTCCTCTTGAAGAAGCCATGTTGATTTTTTTCCAGCAGGACTTATCCCTCTGTGCTTACTGATTCTATCTTTAATACTGATTTTTGAGCAGTTTGCCCAGAACAGCTCTTCAGCTTATTGGCCTATAATTTCCTGGATCCTTTTTAAAAAAATGGTTTTACATTGGTCATCGTCCAATCCTCTGGTACAAGGGCTAATTTTAGGGAATGTTAAACAGTTTGGTAAGAAGGTCAACCATTTCATGTCTCATGTGTTTGAGAACTCTAGAATGGTTATCATCTGAAGTGGGTGGTTTACTGACTTTCAGTGTGTCAATAAGACAGAGAATTTTGTCTTTTGTCTCTATTAACTGCCTTAATTCTTCAGATTCCCTTCCAGAATACCTAAACTCAGGAATAGGCACATTTATTTATTTATTTATTTATTTATTTTCTGTGCATCCTTTTTTGTGAATACTGATAAAAAATGGAACTCTTACTTTCTTTGTGGTTAGGCTGACTGGAATATAGGGCAGGCCCTTCATCATTATGACCACAATCCTGTAAATCAATTAATAATGGGGCCTTTCTTACCATATTGTGGCTTCCAACTGCATACTCTGTCTCTCTCTTACTCTTGGGATCCTCTTATACATTGTTCATCTTTATTTGAGGATGGTAATACAGTGGACACTAAAGCAAAAGCAAAAATTCTTAATTTAGCTTCAGAAATGCATTTTTGAGCACTTAAGAATACATTTTATTGGCTGATATACAGAATCTAGCAGTTTGGATTTGTGTTTTAGTCTCACAATATAGGAAAAAAATTAAGTTGTGAGTTGTCCAAGTCACACAGCTGGTATGGATATGTTTTCCATATCCAGACACAATACACTAGCCATCATACTCCATTACTTCTCTGAAAAAGTATTTCTTTAATAAAATAAACACCATTAATCTCTTTGAAAGTTGATTACAGCCTGCCTGTCATCCCCAACTTGCCCTCCAGATGTGTTAGACTGCAGTTCCAGCCTTCTTGAGCAGTGGCCATGCTGGCTAGGAATGATGGGACTTACAGTTCAACACATATGGGGAATATTAAAAAGGCACGCTGCATAGCAGTGTAACCTTAAATATTCTTTCTCTAATTACTATGCATTGGTGGGGAGGTGTGGAAAAGGAAAGCAGATGATTACAAAAGATAAAATCCCTTTATGTAATACAATTGCAAACTAAACCTATCACCAAGTGGGCAGGAGGTAGGCCATACTGAACTCCAAACTGGGTATGCTTGTGGCCCATGCAAGGAAGCACATACCAAACAGAAGTCCGCTAATATTTTGCATTTAGGCAATAGTACTACTATCTATGCGGGTAAACAATCTAGTAACGCTGGTTACATTCGCCTCCTGGCGCTACCTCCACGCTCAAAATGATGCTGACCAGTTACACGTGTAAACATGCGCAACCTGTGGCGTTTGAACGGTGTTTTAAATACACTTCCTCATGTAAGTTTGGCCGCTTAGCAATCAGCTCCACGTGGCTCACAGGGACGGAATTTAGGGCAGAAGCCCGGGCTCATTCAGGCACGAATCAGTCCTACAGCTCCCACCGTTGCCCAGCCAGCGCTGCCGCCTTGAACGTGCACAGGATCACGCCCTTAGTTACCATAGCAGCCAACGCCCACTGCATAGCAAAGGAACCCCCCTCCCCACGACCCCATCCGTCTGATTAGGGGCATCCCGTGGACTCCAGTGTTGACGAGGCACTGCATCCCCTGCTCTCCTTTAAAATGAAAAGCAACAATTGAAGCAGATCTCACCCTCGGCGGTTAGCCACTATCCAAGGCGGAGGATCTGCCGCAAAGCATCTCGGGAACTGTTGTTCTTCCGAACATCTGTCACCACTATGCGCACATAGAACTACATATCCCGGCATGCTTCTGACTCTTACCAAACCGGAAGTGATGCCTCCAAGTCCAGTAGGGTGCTACGTTGTGCCCGGAGAAAGTAACTGCTGTGGAAAGTCAAGGCGATGGTTTGCAAGAGCAGTTGGGCTTTAATAGGTCTTCGTGAATTGTTGAATTATCCTGGGAGTTGTGCTTTATTTATTCGCTTCTACAGCCGAAACATTTGCAGTTCGTTAAGCTGCAGTGGTCCTTTATTTTATGGAACTGATACAACGAAGTGAATCACTTTCTGAAATTTGGGGAGATCCATTTTTAGAAGGGAGGCCTATTTAAGGCAACAGCAGCGGGAAATTGCTAGGGAGAATCTGCCCCGCACCAAGCCTTAGGACCTACGGTCTACTCATTAGTTGATAAGAACTCGGAGATGAAAGAGGCCTGCTGTGCTCTTCCCATTCTAGCTGCTGAGCAAGGGGCTTTCTTAGACCTGCACAAGGCAGGCTTAGAACATGCATTTATAATATAACATGCATTTCCTGCTGCCTCTACATGCTTACTCCAATTACATTTTCTTTTAGGTAGCATGTGCTTTAATTAAAAACTCCTTAATCAAAGGTGTTATTGCATTTGCTTCACAAAATGGGGGGAATTATACATCGTGCTGTTGAACATAGCAGGGCTTATGTCTACAGGATTACTCTCTATTTTTTGCACAGAACATTGTAATCGTTCTTTTTGTCTCTACATGATAGTTGCTGAAAAGTTGCATTCAGGATTCTGACGGTGTTTTAGTCACCTTTTGCTTCTTGCTTGTCCATTGCAACTGTGTTTTTTCCGTCATCCGTTTAGACTTGTTTCTTGTTGCTACAGGAATTGCCTTTTAGCATTATTCCCTAATGTTGTCCCTGGTTTCAGTCCACAGTTCTTCTGGCTCACAGTCAATTAAGTTGAAAAGATTTGCAATGCTCAGTTGCTCAATATATATTCCACTCTGTATGCAGTACACATAAGGAAAGGTGGCTTAGAATCAGGGAAAGGAGTGAAATTGGCAGATGAAACACCACTAATTTAACATATGCAGATGACACCAAACCCCTGGCAGAAAGCAGTAATGACTTGAAATGACTTCTATTAAAAGTGAAAGAAAAAAGCACAAAAACAGGTCTGCAGCTGAATATTAAGAAAACAAAAATGTCCACTGAAGAACTACAAGACTTTGATGTCAATAATGAAGAGATCAAAATCGTGAAAGATTTCTCATACCTCAGTTCAGTCATCACTTCAATGGGATGCTGCAGTCAAAAAAATAAAATCAAAGACTGAGACTTGGAAGGGCAGCAATAAAGGAGCTAGAAAAGTTAATCAAGTGTAAGGATGTTTTACTGGAGACCAAGGCTGAGATCCTCCATGCTATTGTATTCCCAATCACAATGTATGAGTATGAAAGCTGGACCATGAAGAAAGCTGACAGGAAAAAAATTGATATGTTTGAAACTTGGTCTTTGACTGTTCTTGGTATTGTCATGATCAGGACATTTTGCAGGGCTTTTATTCACATGGTTGCCCAGAGTTGGAGACAACTTGACAGCAGTAGTGCACACAACGCACAGTAAGATTACAATGTAAGCAAAGTTCTGCTTCTTATTGATCAAGGTTGACAATGAAACTTTGCTTATCTAACATAGTACCAGATAAAATATGAATACACACACACACACACGGCCCTACTCAGCTCTGACCATACGGTAATGTATTGCATTAGTTAGCCTTTTACAGCTCAAAGTTCTTAAGTCTCTGCAGCAAAAGTATGTACAGTGGTACCTCGGCTCACGAACGCCTCAGTTCACGACCAAATTGGGTCGCGAACAACCATTTCATAAAAAATTTGACTTGGGTCATGAACTCCACATTGGGTGGCAACCACGATTGCGGCCATCTCCCCCCCCCAGCACGATCACACCTGTCTCCCCGCCACCGAGTGCGCCCGCGTTTGCACCCGTCTCCCCCCACCCCCAGCAGCACACTGAGATGACAGGTACATGCAGGGATGAGGGGCGCAATCGCAGTCATGCTGGGAGGGGCAGGGAGATGGCCGAGCTCATACTCAGGGTGGGGGTGGGGAGATGGCCATGATCTTTGCTGGCACTTTGCTTTACATTTTTCTGATTAAAAAAGTAGTTACAGAACGGATTAACCTTATTTACATTGAACCTTATGGGAAAATTTAACTTGGCTCATGACCAGTTTGGGTCATGACCAGAGTCCTGGAACAGATTAAGTTAATGAGCCAAGGTACCACTGTATAGCTGCAAAGCAGAGCACACTGAAAATATACTTAGCTACGATATGCAACAGTGTAACTGGCATTCCTGCCTTTGATTTTAAGCACATTTTGTTACCAGTTAGAGTACTGAAGGTTTGAATGGTTCTCTTCTCCTAGCCTTCTGAAGGAACTTTCTGCAACAATGCTAGAAATGTTGAACTACAAGCAGTCTGTGATAAATGAAAACACCATGGTAGCCTGTAGACTACTCTTCATTTCATTTCATTTCATTTGCAACAGCACTATCTAGTTCCTTAGTATGTTCAGAAACCTGTATTTTTAGCTCTGCTTAAATCGCTATCTCACTCCCTCCATTCATTTTTATTCCTTCACCATCATTACAAAAGATCTACAACCAGAACCACAATGAAATCAACTTTGAAAAAAATAAAGCATGTTATTTAAAATGCAAAGGACTTCACTTTAAAGAAAATACAATTACAATCTTTATAGTGTTTGTTTTCTTTAAAAAGGTAAAGGTTTCCCCTTGACATGAAGTCCAGTCATGCCTGACTCTAGGGGGCGGTGCTCATCTCCGTTTCCCAGCCGAGGGAGCCAGCGTTTGTCCGCAGATAGTCTCCGTACTCATGGGGCCGGCATGACTAAACACCGAAGTGCACGGAACGCTGTTACCTGCCCACCGAAGTGGTACCTTTTCATCTACTCGCATTTGCATGCTTTTGGTTTTTTTTTAGAGAGAACTAAATTATTCACATCACTATCAGGGCTGGGGCAGTGAGCTTTATAGATGAGAGTAAAACAAAGCTAAATACACAAAATCAACATAAATGTTACTTCCCATGTCCAATGCTTTGTAGGAACTAAAAAAGGGTAATAAATTCACAGAAAGATACTTTGTAGTGTTTGAAAGTGAATTTCTTTATTACATATACTGGTTTGCATGTTTCAGAACAGAATCTCAGTCTTCTACTGCAGTTTTCTATTACAAATGAGCATTGTACACATAAAATCAATATGCACATATGTTAACAGCACAGTAAACATTAGAAGTAATGCTTCATCAGCTAGAAAGTTAAAATAAATTTACAATCAGTTTTTGTTTCCATTTAAATATACAGTGCTTCTATTGCTAGAAGGTTGCAGTGTAAGGAAGTCTCTGCAGCATGTTTGCTTCTTGAATGGGGATCTCATAATGGTCTATGAATCATCTCAGACTTCAGTTTAGACAATTCACTTCATTTCACATAATTGAAGGCAGCTCAAAAGGTCTTCAGCTGGCAATCTGCAAATCCCGATTTGCTGGATGAGAGTTAACAAGGCAGAATCCAACAATTTTCCTGCAATTTTTAGTGATGCCGATTTCACAGAATGAAGTTCTGTGCAAAGCTAAAACGTTATCCTGCTAACAGTAATCTGGAACAATTTCATCTAAAGGCACCTTGCTGTGCTGCACCTGCCCTCTGTGGCACCCTGAGATCCAGACTGCGGTAGCTGCTGGTTCTTTTGTCCATCGTTCCAGTTTAGACCATCTTCTCATTGAATGTATGATTCTATAAAATGCAGGGTACAAATTATCATCCTTCCAAAATAATTTAAGTGCTCCAGAAAGAGTCATAGAAAATACCATGACTTGTAAAAATTAGAGACAGCAATCTAAAATACTGTTCATCTTTCAAGTCAAATGTTGAACAGAGATGATTTTGTTCCCTACTGCAATTAGGCATTAAAAGCTTTACAGATTGGAAGTGATGATGATGTAAGTACTACGGAGACTGAAGTATTCCTGATTATCCCCTGAATTCAAGAGCAGGGTGCCTTGATATTTTCCCATTCCATGTTACTAGAAACATAAAGGAAAGGCAACAGCCACAGAGTCATAAAAGCTGCTGCAGACAAAATGTGCTTACACTCCACAGAGACAGTTTGATAGGTGGCGTCTTACTAGCTAGACTTTTAGAGAAAGGATAAGAAGCTCCTGAATGCCGGCAGGGGAAGAACTGGCCCAAACAAAAATGAGGTTAGAAGGACAGTCTGCAACTGTGGTGTCTAGAGTTCATTCCTGGCACAGTACAGGATTAAAGTTATGCACACAAACACAAGAAGTATTTAGACTATGCTTCTCGAAGCCAAGTTCCTGATCAGGCTATGAAGGCCTCGCTAGAGTAGAGCATGCAGGAGATTTTGACAGCTCTCACCCACAGTGGTACAAATGACAACAAGGTGTGTAAAAATACCTTCTGTTCTTAAAAAGGCGTTTTCAGTAGCGTTTTTACTCCCAACAGTTACTCTACGTAAAAATCCTGCTATAGATGACACAAGGCTTCACAAACAGATACTTTGAGCACCAATCTGTAAAGCTTTTTTGAGTTACTAAAAAGGTTAGTTTCTGAACATAATTACAATTGCACTTATCATCTGTGTTCCCTGGTTACACTTCATTCAAAACAGATTAAAAATTGGAAAGGAAGGCTACAGTTACTGACAACCCTATGCATATTTGGATTTGCCAAGCAATTCAGGTGTTCGTAGGACAAATGAGATCAATTCCAGGGAACTGGAGAAGAGTACATTAAAACTGCAGGAACGGTCATCACAGTTTGGCGTGCATTGGCTTCAGATGTTTGTGGAAAGATTCATGGACCTGTAGGAAGCAGTAAGATTCGTCAGAAATTTTAAACCCATCCTCTTAATATCTCCAGTCATCCTGCTGGAAACATGTGCCTCCCATGTTAAGTGTGCTTAGGACTGCGGCCCTTTACTGCTTAGGACTGCGGCATGCACAGCATGCTATTATCAATAAATCCATCACTAATTAGAACGATAGTACTATCAAATCTGTATATATTTGTGACATTGAAAAAGGGGGCCACTGTGCATGGAGATTAGCGTTTCCCTACTTACTCCTCAAAGAAATTATAGCAAGGGTGGGGAATGCATGGCCTCCTTGACCACTGTCCACACCGACTAGGGCTGCTGGGAGTTGGTGTTCAAGAACATCTGGAGGACTTCAGGTTCCCCACTCCTGTATCATAGGTCATTTTATCTGCTGTAAATGACTGGGAGGAAAATATACAAGTGTGCAATAACTGCATATATTAATTATTTTAATTACCCTGTTTCCCCGAAAATACGACCTAACCAGAAAATAAGTCCTAGCATGATTTTTCAGGATGCTTGTAATATAAGCCCTACTCCAAAAATAAGTCCCAGTTAAGATTGTCAGCCAGACGGACGCATTTAGTATGGCTGCTGCAACACAATTCAGGGTTTGGGGAGTTATGAAATGTTCCAAAAGAAGATGGCATGACTGTATTTGAATAAATGTAGATTTTTGTGCACGAATAAACGTAGATGGTAGTACATGAAAAAATAAGACATCACCTGAAAAATAAGCCCTAGTGTGTCTTTTGGAGCAAAAATTAATAGAAGACCCGGTCTTATTTTTGGGGAAACACAGTATTGACACAAGGGCTCTAAAGCATGAATTTTTTATTGGTTAGGTTAGGGTGACTGGGTTTTTGAATCTATAGCTAAGTGCCATGGTCACAAACACCTCCACTGTCTTCAGCATGGTAAGCTGGAGTTCCCCTTCTAACATTAGGGAAGTCTGGGTTAATATTGATTAACAATCCAGGAGAATAAGCCTCCTGGCTTAGGAAAGTAGGAATAGGTATAGCCACTCATCCACATCTCTATAACCATGATTTATGAAGCCACAGATGAACCCTAAGCAGTTTTGGTATCCCTAATTTGAGAAGGATTCTTAACTTCAAATTGGAGGTACCAATCTACTAATTTTGAATTACAGATTGAATGACAGATCCTGCAATTTCAGCCTTTCAATAGGTATTTCTAAATTGCTGGTAAACTTGTTAGAAATTGCAAGCCCGCTTCAAATCCACCCCCAGAGAAAGATTGCCCACTTGCAAAGTGCCTTCTCTCCAGTCATATTCGGCTCCCCCACCTTTCTGCTTATTGCTTCCTTCTTGCTATTCATCGTAGCTTGATATGGGTTACAAAACTGTGAGCAGGGCTGCAAAACATACACAAACCTCATGGCAAAGCTGTAACATCGAAGGGGAAAATTACGGAAATGGAAATGCAGCCAGTAGCTGAGAAGGGATGAGGGAGGATGACAGCATCGAAGAGAGGCAGGGTGTCCAGATTGTACAAGTCACCCTGGACATCAGCAACCCTAAAACAAGCCATTAGTTCTTAGGGTGGCCTGTTCATGAAAAATAAGGCACTTTGTTGAAACTGTGCTGGGTTCAAAAACATGAGAAACCTGTGCAAAGCTAGGTCATTCTTGGCAAGGCCAGATTTAATGCAGCCAGGTCACTGTTTGATCACTCCCTTTTAATTGCTAAGCCCCACTGCTGACAAGCTAGGAAAGGCTGTACATACTTCCTTACCTGTGTTTTATTTAGTGGTGATTTCTTTGACCACTCAAACATGTTTTCATAGACATTGCCATCATATCGGCCAAGCACAGATCGGAGAACAGAATCGTGGAAGTCAAAGGAATCCACTAGAGCTACTGCATTGGGACGGATTATTGCCAACAGTTCCTTGATACGCTGGTTCACCTGAATTATCTGTGTGTCTGTCAAAATGCCCCCCTGGGGAAAAAAGCAAGAATCCAGAGAGTCACAGATCCATGCACATAAGTGTAAATCAATCATATGGAGAGATTTTAATTTGAGTGAAAACTTAGCCAAGCCAGCTTAAAGGCCTGATCTGGACCAGAATTCCAGGAAATGGATATGGCTTTGTTTGGAAATAGATATCACTCTGATCATTGTTATCACATGTACTCTTCCTTCTATGAATATATAAAACTGCTTTCTAACAAATGTGGCCACTGATTCATTGAACCCAGCACTGTCAAATCTGGCAACAGCTCTCCAGGATGGACCCCTTCTCCAGTCCTATCCATGCCACACCTGTTACATCATCCCAGTAATTTCCTTTACACCACAAGCCAACCTCATGGCAGACAAAACCGAGCAAAAAGATTTCTCCCACTACTGGTTTATTCTAGCTGTTCCAGGTAGGTTCTCTCTCCTTGCTAGCAGACCATTGTGGCTCAAGTTCTCAAAGTAGAATTTAATCACCAACCTGCAGGAAGTCTCCAGTATTCTTACTAATCCCATAGAGGGCATACAGTAGACACAGGTTGTTAAGGACAGCCCGGACAGCCGAGTCACCAATTTCTGAAAGCTTTGCTGTAAACAGTTTGACCACAACATAGTGACAGTGTGCCTAAAAAGGAATGTTTAATGGACAAGTGTGAATTCAGGTGTTCATGGCCTCAACAGGGTGCCAAAATGGACTTATTTGGAGGTGCTACTGACCTCAGATGCTCGGACAAGATCAACAGAAGTCCGGTTCCAAGCATCCTCCTTACTCTTTCGACGGTTCAGCTCAGCTTGCAAATTCTTTGCTGCAAATTCAACCAGCCTGGACCATGGAAGAACACAAACTATTGATTGGAACATTAATGACACCTGAGAAATGGCATACTTGTCATGAGTGATCATGGCTGCAAGCCTCAAGACATAGTCATTCACCTACTTGGCCAGCCCACCCAGGATCTCAGCCTAGACCCCCCCATCTGTAAGATGAAACTATCTCTTGCAGGATTGTTGGGCAGATTTTACTCCAAGTTTTATAATAAACTGGAGGTAGGTTGAATCTCACTCTTTTGATTGTAGCACTTCCTCATTTTCTAATATTGCTGTCAAGTGACCAAGACAAGCATGAAACCAAGCTCTCAAAAGTTGTAGCAATGTCCTGCATTGTTTACTTGCCCATTCATTAAGTACCCATGTTCATTTCCCCTCCTCTCATCATATAAAAACCTCTTCTGCCATGTACCTTATTTTAAGACCTCTATATAGTTGGAATAATAACAGACAGGAATGTGGAGGCTCAGAAAAAACTAAGTTTTTAGGAAAACTGAGGAAAATATCAGTCCTCCCACATTTTGTTCAGTTTCCTCTGGGCGTTCACACCTGTACTTACAGGACAAGTATGTGTGTTTTTTTTCCTTTAACAGGTCACAAGTATGCGAGCCACCTAGAGGGATATAGGGTGGCATACAAATGCAATAAACAAACAAAGCATTATGGTTGGCATGTTCTTAATTGGTGTAATTTACATTTCAAGCTGGCTGCACATAGTTCTGGTCGAACTATGGAACGGGGAGATGACCAGGGCTGTGAACACGATCGCTCCTAAGCGTCCTCTCCCACCGGGCAGAGCCCGCTCTTCCCCTTGGTATACACCTGAATTGCGGGCGATGAAGCAGGTTGGGAGATGGCTAGAGCGTAGGTGGAGGAGATCAGGGGATGAATCTGACCGAACACACTTGAGAGCCCATTATCGGGCCTATGCTGTGGTGGTGAGGGCAGTGAAAAAGAAATTCTTCTCCGTTTCCATTGCCTCCTCAAAATGCCGTCCGGCGGAGCTTTTTCGGGTAGTACAAGGGCTGGTCCATCCTGGCCCTAAGAAAGATCTGGTTCCACCCTCGAAGGCCCGCTGTGACAACTTTGCCAAGCATTTCAGGGAGAAAATCGCTCAGATTCGTCACAAGCTAGACTCTACTAGTGATTCAGAGGCTTCTGGGGAGATACCAAGTCACCATCTGGTCCAAAATTAATGGATGAATTTCAGTTATTGCGGCCTGATGATGTGGACAAAGTGCTTGGACGAGTACGTCCACCACTTGCCTATTGGACCCTTGCCCATCTTGGTTAATTAACAACGCCAAGCACGGGATTGGGACCTGGATCTTGGAAGTGGTTAATGCTTCTCTGAGGGAGGGTCGGGTACCTGCCCCTTTAAAGGAGGCAGTATTCCGACCGGTCCTGAAGAAAGCGTCACTGGATCCAGAGATGGCCACTAATTACAGACCAGTGGCCAACATCCCGTTTCTGGGCAAGGTGTTGGAGCGGGTGGTGGCGGGACAACTCCAAGCACTCTTGGGTGAAACTGATTATCTGGACCCATTTCAGTCCGGCTTCAGACCCGGGTATGGTACCGAATCTGCCTTGGTCGCCCTGTACGATGACCTGTGCAGGGAGAAGGACAGGGGGAGTGCGTCCCTGTTGGTTCTTCTGGACCTCTCAGCGGCTTTCGATACCATCGACCATGGTATCCTTCTGGATAGGCTAGCGGGATTGGGGGTCGAAGGC